ACTCACTTGAAAAATGTTTCGCAGGAGGAAAGGTCAGAGTATGCTTTAGTCGGTGTCACTTTTAATTTCACTGACAATCCAGCGTCTTTCGACTGGAACCGGGCTTGGAGGTTTAACGAGATTAATCGTTATGTTTCCACCAGTAATGTTGCCAGCAAACATAGTGTTGACACCACCAGAAACATTTATAACCTGAGACCGCTGACTGTGTTGTCTTTTGGCGGTTTGGACATAGGCGAGATGATGTTGGATATTTGCTTGTGCTGGTCAGGATTAATATGGCAGTAATTATTCACAGGATGGATGTTTTTGTGACCAGTTATCTGCATTATTTGATTTGGCGGAACATTATTTCATTCAACTTTTGCACAAGGTGTTTGCGCGCAGAGTGATTAGTGAGTCGTTTCGATGTTTGGAGACTGGCGGCATCGCACATGTTTTTCATGAGAGATGAATGTTTGTTTTTTCCCAATACGATAGCGGATAAACCACTGATCGCCAGGTCTAGGCATGCTTAAAGTGTGTGTACCGATGGAAACGGGATAGTCATCGCGACAAATGTCGGGAGGACACGTGGAGGCGTACAACTGCACAGGGCACCGAGAGGGATCAGCAACATTAGACCACATTTTGGGCCTCACGTCGCGACAATCACGAGGATTCTCACCAGACCTATTCTTGTCTTGACTCATGGACAGTTTAAGATATTCTTGATCGTCTCCATCAACATGCAAGGTATTGTCTCCCTGTAACATATGAGACTAACACGATGATTGCCGTGTGTTCTGGAGAGCGTTTAGTCAGGGGAGATCACTCTCCAGGATACCAATGTCACAAACACACTGTATCCGGTAGATGTGGTCAACATATACAAAATGTATATTACACCCCCAACACACGTTTGAGTGATCACTGACACCTCTTAAACCCAAATTGATTCTGTTGTAGAGCCATAGACAGTTTATTATGCTCATTGGATTATTGATTCCAATAGATCCAGATCCGGAAAGCCACATGGACTCGATCTCTTCATCATCAATCGGGTCAGCTCTCCTTGGTAGTTGCCACGCCCGTCTTTCTTTTGTTCAATTTTCCACCCCTTTAATACTTCCCGTGATCGTGAAAATTCTAAAGATGACGTTAGTGAAAAGCCATACCCCCTTCGTTGTAGTCGATGCTGCTCTGTAAACCCATGAGACTGTTTGGTTCATAATTTTCCCCATTTGTTTTTCGAACACTAATGATAAACTTGCATAGAAGTGTGTCTAGGTCCTTTCAGGGTATTTCATGCCTTTGGCGTATTTCATTTTGGACTTTTAAAATGTTATCAAACAGTTTTCAAATCGTTCAAAGTTTTCTTGGTTTTGTTTTTGATTTGATTGGCTTGGATCACACTATCGATCATGTCGTCCTCGACAGACACAAATCTACTTGGCCAACTTTAGGCTTTGTGTATGTCGTCTGCTTCGCCGTGTCGGTGATTATGTTTCGATGACGTGGGTCATAGGGAATTTTCATGACAGTCAAATTCAAATTCGATATCATCAACCCGTAACCTGTGATATTCTTTTGTCAACACTGATAGCACTGTAGCACTTCCCCCTTGATCTATTAAAACATTGTCTCCAACATCAAAGGTATCCATGTTGTTTGTAAACACATTACTCACGTGCACCGGGGGCGGTCGGGTAGCCTTGTGGTTAAAGCGTTCGCTCGTCACACCGAAGACCCGGGTTCGATTCCCGACATGGGTACAACGTGTGAAGCCCATTTCTGGTGTCCCCCGCCGTGATATTGCTGGACTATTGCTAAAAGCGGCGTAAAACCATACTCACTCACTCTCCGCGTGCACTGGCGAAAAAAGTCCCACTTCCGGTTATCTAATTTGCATATATAATTTGCATACTTATGTCATTGGGGTATGACATATATGTCATAAGCTTATGTCATGGATAAATGCCTGAGTTATATATATATATATATTTATAGCTGTGTAGGGGCTATTGAAATATGCAATAGTGAAAACCGAAGCAGCATACAATGAGAAAGGAACAAGGTTTTACATAACATCAAACAGCTGACTCGTCAAAAAAGAAACGGTCTTGCGAATAACAAATTTGTTTATGTGACTACTACAACAATGTCTTTCGTTAATATCAATCATAATGACACAAACGAAGCATATCATTGAAAAAGATTTATCTTCTAAAACATACATCGTTTTCTTGACGTCACAATGTTAAACAGTGAGGAAACAATTTTAGATAGAAATGTGTATGTTACAAGAATTCATTACATAATGGTGTTCACAAAGCGGAAGTGGAGGAGAATATCGGTCATTGATCCCCTGGCCTCGTCAAAGTCGTCAAAAGATGGTAGTTGTTGTTACCTTGCCTGGTGCTCGGTATTAAGGGTCGAAAACAAGGACTGCTCGGCTCGGAGTCAGTAAAATGTGTCCGAATGGGATATCCACGTTTTACTGCGGCATAGTATCTCAGTGGGCCAGCCGCCCGTGAAGATCCGTGTTTGCTTTAAAAGACGATTATGCTTCTCATAAGACTAACGGGATCGGGTGGTCAGGCTCGCTGACTTGGTTTATACATGTCACCGTATCCCAATTGCGTGGATCGACGCTCATGATGTCTGGTTGTCTGGTTCAGACTCGATTATTTACAGACCGTCGTCGTATACCTGGAGTATTGCTGAGTGCAACGTTAACAAAACAACAACAACAACAACAACAACAACAACAACAACAGCTACCAGTAACAGTGGGACAGCACAACAAAATGGGCATCAGTCCGCACTCCTTAAAGCACATACACACGTGCATGCGCGTGGCTATATGAATAAAATAGTCTTGAAAGCAACTTTAAACCGCATTTCACCACACAGTGGGGGTCAAGTTCGATGGGAATGGACTTTACGAAAAATATAAAACGTCAACGGCAGAAAACAACCAATCTCCGAAAGAGACTCTAGTGGACACACAAGGCAAACAGCGTGAATATCACAAATGGGCTACCGAAAATCAGGGACGACATCAGGCGTAAGGCCAAAAAATACGTCAGCTATTGCAAAAGAACATTACCTGTTAAATAGTACAGTAAACTACGGTTATAACGAACTCCAATGGATAACTATAGTTAGTTCGTTATAACCGTAGTTCGTTATAAGCATATATACAACATATATATAGCAAAAATGACCGGGACCAATAATTGAGTTCTTAACATCCGTCAGTTCGTCATAAGCGTGTTCGTTATAAACGTATTTTACTGTAAATAAATACATGTTATATGAGTGCGATGTCAATTGATGGTGGTTTAAACATGTGCGTTAAAGTAACCCTGTTTAGAGTCCACAACCAATAACAATCTGAAGAACATAAAACTTCGTGATGTAATTGCCAAGTTGTATTAACCAACCAAGGATATTTTAGTTAACTTTATTCTTTTGTTCGAGTGTAGGATCCTAGAGCAACTACCCCCAGGGTAGATATCAGACCACATCCTGGTCAGCAGCACGCCATGCCATCAGGTACAGACGTGAGAGAGAGAGAGAGAGAGTGAGTGAGTGAGTGAGTGAGTGAGTGAGTGAGTGAGTGAGTTATTTTTTAGTTATATCGCGGCGTGTCAGCTTCATGTGGAAGGAAAGCCCGAAGTGATGCAGGACTCAGATGTTTACCACTTCGGTGAAACCCACGAGCACGGGTATGGTGCTGACAAACCTAAGGCCTGCCTAAGGGACGCAACTCTGCACCGCGAATCGCGGTGCCTTAGGCGACTGGGCCCCCCGTACCCTCTAAGGCGCAGAATGACGGAATTACACCATAAAAGGCGTAAGCTGAGACTTATGTGACACGTAATGTGTCAGCTTTATGCGAAGACAACGACATTGTGTAATTATATTATGAACAAATAAAAAATGCAAAGATGGCGACCACAGAAATCTATCTGCGTGTTGCTTAGCAACGTGATCATACATATTTCGCTACGAAGCAGCTGCCAGAAACAAGTGTGTGTAATAAGGTCTACTCAACTACATATCACAGGTAACGAAATACCACGAGATGGGCACAATCACTTGTCGAGACAAAAGAGTGGGATCGCTGTTTAATAGATAAGGGTAGGTGTGCATTGCGTGAAACTACTTTAATAGTATGAAGATGCAATATTTGATTATCAAAATATCCAAAAGAAACACTTGGAGAATTGGAAATAAATGCACATTTAAAGAGGTTCAGTCGAAAGACCACTATGATAAAATGAAGAGCGGCTAGTGTCACCTTCAAGTACATGAAATGGAAGTGCCCATAGCTATGTTGCAGTTGTGGTTTAAACACGTCTTTAAACACAACCAAACAACCCTTGTTTGATACATATTTACATCTCTGGTTGTTTTACGCCCTGATACTGTCATTACAATTGCAATATAGGCGACAAAACTTTTTCCCTAATCATACGATTCATGTTTTCGTGTTCCTCATGCGAACTTGGCTTGACTTGCCTTTTCATGCGTTTGTGACGGGTGCCAACGGTAGAACAAGATACACTCACCTTTTAGCAAACACCTGGTATCAGAAATATTTTATTTATAAACACATGCTCATTATATAGTCGCAATTGCACAATAGAGATTTCTTATGGTTATGGAAAGGGTTTTGTCGTTGTTAGTTATATCAACATCAGTTATTGTATATCTGCTTTGTTCTCGATCCTGAAATCAGTTTATATAGTTTAAATAAATACATATATATATGTTTGTGATGATGGCCAGAAATAAAAGGGGCATTGGAGAAGTAGCTGAATCCACCTTTGAGTGAGTGAGTGAGTGAGTTGGGTTTAACGTCGCTTTTAACAGTATTCCAGTTATATCGCGGCGTGTCAGCTTGATGGGGGAGGAAAGCCCGAATTAAGGGATGCAGGTTTCAGATGTTTACCACTTCAGTGAAACCCACGAGCACGGGTATGGTGCTGACAAACCTAGAAACATAATTGGGGCGAACCGGGATTCGAACCCACAATCATAGGTTTCTAGCAGCCCAAGTGACGAAACTCTGCACAGCGAATCGCGGCGCCTTAGACGAATGGGCCACCCGTGCCCCCCTCCACCTTTGAGAAACAAGGACATATGTATCATATCTTGCCGGCGAGTCAACAACCTCATCAAAAATTCAGTTTCAGCAACAATGATTTGCAAACTTATCTCATCAAATTGGTATTTTGTGATGTGCATTAATGGTTCAGCCTGTCGAATAAGACTGATCACAGACTACCAAAGGATGTAACGGCGTAGACATTGGAACCTGCTTCATCCCCAAGTGATGGAACACACTTGTCGGTCAGTTTGCAGGTGCCCGTTGTGGAGATGCTGAACCCGATGCAAGCAGTGGTGCAGAGACATTTGTAGTTGCACTCCTTGGTGGTCATCCCTGTTTCCTGGAAGATGACGTGGTCAGCGTTGTTGATCATCTTCCCTACGCCGGACATATGGAACACGAAGGGCTGGAACCCTGAGGACACCGCCGGTCGACTCTGGGCAGCACAAGTGGGTTCCGCTGAAACATCGTGGTCGGAGAGTCAGGTATAACACTCCTTTGAAGAGTATTAAGTTACATGACAGCGTGTTGGTTTATTGTAGGGAGGAAGGGTGAGTGAGTGAGTGAGTGAGTTGGGTTTAACGCCGCTTTTAACATTATTCCAGTTATATCGCGGCGTGTCAGCTTAATGTGGGAGGAAAGCCCCAAGTGATGCAGGTCTTAGACGTTTACCACTTCAGTGAAACCCATGAGCACGGGTATGGTGCTGACAAACCTAGAAACATAATCGGGGCGAACCGGGATTCGAACCCATAATCATAGGTTTCTGGCGTGCCCAAGGGACGCAACTCTGCACAGCGAATCGCGGCGCCTTAGACGACTGGGCCATCCGTGCCCCCTAGGGAGGAAGGGAAATTGGCACATCTCAGAAACGTTTACTATTTTGGTGATATCCCGAGCACAAATAAGGCCCTGAGAAACCAACATCTGGGATCTGAACCAACTGCCATCGGATCTTAGTCAGTTAATGTAACCATATCTTTACACTGAAGATCATTGGGCGACTGACCAAAACCATCAGGATATGGATACACACGTCCAGGTGAAAGTCGAACAACCATTTATTTCCTCTTGTTTCCAATTTCTATACACTTTTACGAAGTTTCTTGAGCATAACAATAATGTGTTACACAAATACGAAACATTTTAACATATATATTAATATGTATGAGCATACAGTTTAAAATGAGATAACATGTGTTATACCTATGTTTTACTGAAGTTCAGACATTGGAATATTTAATAATACAACTCTACCGTTGTAATAATAGGTTCTAAATTAAAACGTTTACTCAGATTCCCATTGGTAAATGGAATAGTGAATGGCTTGGGATATGCCATGGTAAAAGGCTTGGGAGATGGCGTGGTAAATGACATTGCAAACGGTGTGGTAAATGGCATGGTAAATAGCATGGTAAATGGCATAGTAAATGACGTGGTAAATGGCGTGGTGAATGGCGTGGTAACTGACATGGTAAATGACATGGTAAATGGCGTGGTAAATGGCATGGCAAGTGGCATGGTAAATGGCGTGGCAAATGGCATGGTAAATGGCGTGGTAAATGGCATGGCAAATGGCATGGTAAATGGCGTGGTAAATGGCGTGGTAAATGGGATGGTAAATAGCATGGTAAATGGCGTGGTAAATGGCATGGCAAATGGCATGGTAAATGGCATGGTAAATGGCATGGTAAATGGCATGGTAAATGGCATGGTAAATGGCATGGTAAATAGCATAGTAAATAGCATGGTAAATGGCATGGTAAATGGCGTGGTAAATGGGATGGTAAATGGGATGGTAAATGGCGTGGTAAATGGCATGGTAAATAGCATGGTAAATGGCGTGGTAAATGGCATGGTAAATAGCATGGTAAATGACATGGTTAATATCATGGTAAATGAAGTGTTTGTAATCCTTACCGCATGTCTGAACAGTGTTGACAGTCAGATCATCAGTTGTAGGGTCTGGAAGGATAACAATTATCTGTTCATTTCAATGTGACATCGAAGGTTGTTTGCAAAGGAATTCATATGTTAAACCATAGAAGTACATTTCCTCAAGTGATGGTACGTACATGTAGATTTACACGCAGGTCTGGCATAACAGATGTAGATTACATCAACAGCCACGTCTACTCTTAAGAAGCTAGTCATGGAAACAGTTTTCGCCCCTTTTTTGCAAGAGATGAGGTCACTAAGTATACGTTCACACAATACGATACAACATAAGTAGCTCTAACTGCGAAAAGATCAGTATGACGTGCAGGCTAGAGAAAAAAAACACACTTAACAAGAGAGGCCCACGCGAGATATTAACAACTCCGAAGAGCACCTGAACATTGTGATATATACACTAGCCTCGCATAAACAAAAAACAAACTAGCAATAGGCACAATGACACAGCTCATGTTCTTATCATACAACTCTTTACATTTCAGCCTTGTGATATATTATTGGGGTCATGTTTTTATCGGATATATGTCCTGCAATATATTATTGGGGTCATATATTGGGGATATATTCCTCGGACGGTAGTAGTATTTGTTTGACATTACGAAAAAAATAAAAATAAAAATAAAAAAAATAAAAAATAAAATAAAATAAAATAAAATAAAATAAAATAAAATAAAATAAAATAAAATAAAATAAAATAAAATAAAATAAAATAAAATAAAATAAAATAAAATAAAATAAAAATAAAATACACAAATAAGATTTAATGTGACGGAGGCATCCAACTCGGTCACAATATGGTTTTAAAGCTGACGTTTGTACAATTGTACGCAATGTAAGCAACTACATTGTCAAACAACAGGAAAACCTGCAAGACACTCGTTTGCCATATCAATAGTTGTACGACCAAGAAATCGGAGGGTGATGGCTACAGAGAACTGAATGAAACACTATCCCATGAAGGGTTTGGTTATGGACTTCTTCCACGGCTGGACATCACAAGGGTGATAGTGATAGAGTAACCACAACATCCGTGAATCCGAAATTAAAACCTTTACCCCAAGCGGTTTAAGAGCAACAGTGGAAGAATACCTTACAACTCCCAATGTCGATTACATAGCGTCTAAGACAAAGGTGCACTTCGTGGAGAAAATGAAACAGAGTAAATGAAACACCTATACCAGCATTTTTAAAACTGAGGGGCCCAAACTATCAAAATCCTCTCAGCCGCCTCCGTGGTCTAGTGGTAGAACGTCCGCCCGGAGAGGCGAAGCCTGGGGTTCGATCCTGAGGACCCGCCTATGTACATTGTATACATTAACCTTGCCTCACTTCATTGACCTTGCCTCAATCCGAGAAAATCCTAGCTATAGGATGACCTAGGCTGACTTATCGACACAACTCCACTGGTGAGTTATCCATTTTGGAAGATTTCGTTACATAATCATCATTGTCATGGATAACACCGAACGTTCGGCAGTATAATACGTACTGAACAGAAGTACCGTCGGCGGGATGGGTTGACGTCAGTCACGTTAACCCAGCCATTGTTAACCTATCGGACAGTTCTGACTCACGTTCCGAGGAATGCGACTAATTATAAAATCATCAAAAACTGGCTCCCACAGGAGATATCGCTTTGGGTAGATATAGCTGCAATGAAATTGCATCACAATGCTTTGCAGACCATTGTGACGTCATTGTTACATGACGTCACAATCAAATGACATCACTAATGGCTCTGCTACTGCAGCTGTTTGCAGCACTTTTTACACTTAAGACACTGCTTATTACTGTCTACAAACTGAAAAGGTTGGACGAATGATTTCGGATGATAAAAAAAATCCCATCCTCGTGTCTTTTGATATCAAATATATCAACACTCGTTGATGTATTTGATATCAAAAGACACTCGGGTGAGATTATTTGTATATCAGTTAACGTGGATTCATTCCAAGGAGGTTAATGTCGTAGATGTTTGTGTGTGCGAGGGCCTTAACCATTAGCATTTCATGCGAACAAATGGTTTTGTTCAACAAGTGAGAAGCTCGGGTTTGAAGCAGAGTTGACAGACGAAAGTTAAATCAGGACAAGAGGTGAGGTGAAATGGGGTTTAACGTCGCGTCCAAGATTATTGCACTTATATAACGACGTGCATGTATGTGTATGTGTTTGTGTGGCTGCTTGTACTAGTCCGGACTGATGCCGATTTATAGTTCTAGCTCACTGAGATAGCATGCCGCAGTTTAACATGAATACCCCACTCAGACACAGTATACTGACTCCGAGCCGACCAGTCCTTGTTTTAGCCCCTTAATGCCGAGCGCCAGACAGGGTAACAACAAGTCCCATCTTTTAACGTCTTTTGGTATGACGCGGCCGGGGATCGAACCCCGGACCTTCCACTCTCCGGGCGGACGCTCTTCCACTAGACCACGGAGGCGGTCAAATCAGGACAAGAAGATCGGGATGAAACTAACAATGACTATGTCTTGACACTACTCACCAAAGCGCATGGAGACAACATTTGATCCGTCCGCCGCCCCGACAGTCATGTACTTGATCTCAATGATATCAGGGTCCATCCAGCTAATCACCTGCTGGCCACCGATGACTGTCCCCTTGCCCATCCTGATGGTGCACTGGTCCCAGGCGACCCAGTAGGGGTGAAAGGTCGAGTCGCACGTGAAGAAGGAACCTCCCTGGTTCACCTCAACCTTTGGTGTCGTCGGACAACCGCTGCATTTTTTCCTGACTGCCGAGAAATACTGTCCACCAGTGTCTTTATTCAGATCGATGTTGTAGCCATTGGATGTTGACTTGGTCGGCCCCCACAGCCCAAACTGAATGTTCTTACATCCCTTCAGTTCAACCTTTGCTGACCAGTGGCCGATGATGTTGAGACCGTATGGATCTGCATAGTTGTTATATGATGCTGTGTTGAGCTGAGCTAAATGGACAAAAACATGCTTCAATGAAGTACAACTCTGTCGGAAATGGAAGGGTAATACTGTCTGTATTAATACCCAACGGGTTTAGACATCGATCCCCTTTGCGTACATGATACATATACACCTGTGACTGAGTAAAGATGCATCAGGGTTTACAAGAGTGCAGCCTCCTATTCCATCGGGGGGCACGGGTGGCCCAGTCGTCTAAGGCGCCGCGATTCGCTGTGCAGAGTTGCGTCCCTTGGGCACGCCAAAAACCTATGATTGTGGGTTCGAATCCCGGTTCGCCCCGATTATGTTTCTAGGTTTGTCAGCACCATACCCGTGCTCGTGGGTTTCACCGAAGTGATAAACGTCTGAGACCTGCACCACTTCGGGCTTTCCTCCCACATTAAGCCGACACGCCGCGATATAACTGGAATACTGTCAAAAGCGGCGTTAAACCCAACTCACTCACTCACTCACTCCTATTCCATCATCCACAGCTTGTGCAACATAACGAGATTTGCCGGTAGGCTGAGACACAAAGTAAAATCCTTCATGTTGATTTGTCATTTGTCTATGAATAACTGTTTTCATAAATAAATATGCCAATACCTCATTGCACACATGTTTGCCGAAAATGGTTCAGAATCTGCCAATATACTATCATAGACATTAAATGTGAACATGAGTTTTGTATTAATATTTGAGGTTTAAAACTAAAATAATTGTCAGACACTGGTAATTATTCGTTATGCATTCAATAACACATAGTACGAGAATTGAAATATAATATCATTTCTAAATGTTAAACCATAAATACATCGTCACATAAACCAAAACATTCAATAGGTGTCTCTGTTGAAACACTGTTTAATCTAAATGCCATGTAAGCTATGACGTATTTTGTGGTATCTAAGTATCAATGAAAACAAAACATAATCCAACTATTAAAGTATTTTCTAAAATAACATTGTCAACACCACTTATTGTTAATTAACTGGGCTAATAAGCTAATAAAATATATGTCATCCACCAGCTAGTTAATAAAAAAACACACTACAGGTAACTGCCCACACTGCAAACAACAAGAAACCCCAGAACACGCACTCATCCACTGCACACACTACCTAACACATCGAACCGCATTACAAACCACCCTCAATCTAAACAAGGCTCTCACTCTAGAAGCAATACTTAACCCACAAAATAAACTAGAAAACTTCAAGGCCTTAGGCGTATTCTTAATAAAAACGGAACTAATAAAACGCATCTAAAAACACAACAGCCTACCAAATCAAAATCACATAAACAAACAAACATCCACCATACCCAGCTCCCTTAGTTCTCCTCCCAAACCCCATCGGCATCTATTCCAAATCTCAAAATTCCCAAATTCTATATAAGCAACCCCTAAACCCCCCTCTTGGGTTGCACAGACCACTTTCGCCCCTTTCGGAAACACATTAAATGGCCTGGCCGGGCCCGTGTGCGAAATACGCATCAGTCGGAAAGCGCACGTTAAATCTCCAAAGTAAGTAAGTAAGTGAGGTGTCTACAGACTTGCTCTCGCCTTCCTGGGAACACACTCGGTCCCTGGGAAGTCCTTCGTGAGGACCTGGGGTAGAACGTGTCCCAAGCATCCCACTGTTAGTCGTAAGAAGTGACCGAATTGGGCAACCCGTTTGGCGATGGTTGCGTCCCTGTGTCGAGGGAGGACGGGAATGTGGCGGTTGCAGGCACTGGCTACAGGAATAACACACTTTTGTAATCTATGTTTAAAGGCGTGTTTGAACCACAACTGCAACATAACTATGGGCACTTCCATTCCATGTACTTCAAGCCTAGTTCGCATGAGGAAACACGAAAACATGAATCGTATGATTATGGAAAGAGTTTTGTCGCTTATATTGCAATTGTAATGACAGTATCAGATGTAAAACAACCACAGATGTGAATATGTATCAAACAAGGGTTGTTTGGTTATGTTTAAAGACGGGTTTAAACCACAACTGCAACATAGCTATGGGCACTTCCATTTCATGTACTTGAAGGTGACACTAGCCTCTCTTCATTTTATCATAGTGGTCTTTCGCTGAACCTCTTTAAATGTGCATTTATTTCCAATTCTCCAAGTGTTTCTTTTGCATTTTTTGATAATCAAATATTGCATCTTCACACTATTTTTTACTTCTTTAATACTGTAAAAAGCGACGTTTCGGTATAGATCCTTAGACCGTTGTCACCTTCTCATCCGTCAACTTCTAAGTAATGCCTATCAAACAATTTAGACACATACATATTGAAATATTGTACCTGATGTTTGCCTAAAAAACAACAATAAAACTTGTCTTAAACTATTAATGGAAGAAAGTAGCCATGCAGGAATGATTGGATGCAAAACATAAGATGTATCAACTATGAGCATCATGTCCATATTCTAATCAAATGTTTGTCGTTAATATATCGAACAATAGTTCTTTCTAAACCTCGACATGGGTAATGTACAGACTATTCACACCGAAACTTTATATACAGGATCTCTATGTTAGCGAGTGAGTATTTTACGCTGCTTTTAGTAATATTCCTGCAATATCTTGGAGCGAGCGACCGCCTTACCACTGGGCTAACCAACAGACCCACTTGTCTATGTATAATAGTAACCATGCAATATTGAGCAGAATAAACACCACAGTCATCAGCCTTGATTGTATTGGATTGTACACATTGTGCCTATTTGGCTTCTTAAAAAAGCAAATAAAGATTGATTGATGTACGTACAGATATGCTGCATATATACTTCTTAAGAAAACGTAGACATACAAATATAACAGCAACTGTGACAGCATCGCATCTGGCATGCATTATTGTTGTGCTGGGTCGATAGCACTCATTAAATTTCTATAACATTCTCAGTGATTTTTTAAGTTAGAAATGCTTTAAGTTGTAATCTATGTTTGAGCCATATGTATAGCTGAATGTGTCAAAATCATTATTGGGTTGCATACATATTCGACATCGTTTCAACGAACATTTAGTTACATGTATATGCAACTCCATTGAATTTATGTATCTCGAACTCGAACTAGAAATGTCAAATATTTAATAACATGTTATACCGACTCCATTATAACTAGTATCAAATAGGAAAAAATATTAAAAAACAAAAGCCGATGTTAGTTTATGAATGTGAATTTTCGACAAGACGAGTGTTCGCATTACATATGAATTATTATTATTCATCAAGGGGGTTGTGGAGAACACTGTACCACAACTGATGATGATGAAAGTGTGCAATGACGTCTCCTTGTTTGATTGGCTGACATTGGGTCAGTCTGTTAGAAGGTGTTTATAGCTTTACGAGTTATATGTCATTGGAAATCAATGTCCTTTGTTGTTCCCCTGGTTGTTGTCATAATTTATGAAGACCTACTGGTTGTATATCCTCTTAAATAATGGACTCTCTGGCACAAAGAACTAACCTACGCCCAGTGGATAAGTCCCCGCGGTTCCCCGGTACTATTTACACGTTGGCAATGGCGCAAATACCAAGAGAGTACGGGATACTGAAGGGATTTGTACTTCAATTGCACGCTCCAAGTCGTTGGACCCCCTAAGTGTCTTATCGTCATTAAAGATTCATAAAATCCATCCTTTTCTATGTTTCACCATTACAAGTCAACGTGGACTTCGTGTAGAATAGTTCAAAGAAAAACGATGTGACACTTTCTCTATAAAACGTGGCATTCTGCATTAATCTGCATTAGTCTAGTCTTCTATGAAAAATGGATGGTCACAACAGCACCTGTTTCAAAATAATCATATTGAACAATGGTGATTTGGGTAATCCTTTACCCCCATGGGTTTCGTGAATCGTGAGTTATAAAGGAGTTGAACGAGCAAAATATAATTGAGCGCATGTTTTCAGAAACCAAAAGAGATCATATGTGAATTTCCAATCTAAACCACCTGACTTTCTGTCTTCTTTTGGGGAGGGATATTCTGGGACAGCAATGACACCTGACATGAGTGTCTTGTGTGTATCAATATTTACTGCACATATCACAGGTAAACATGCCCGACAAAGGTACTTAATGGAGATAGGACTATAGTGCTCGCTCGTTTCACAGTTCTCCATACACTGATCAGTTACTACTTAAGATTACACTCATGAAATATACATGACATCATTCAACCAGATGGTAAAATGATGTTTGTCGTGATCACATTGTTATTATTAGAAAGGTTTATCGAGGAAAGGAAAGATCTTCTTACTCCAATTATACCGCAGCAACATCTGACAACGACCTTGAAATGTTCCATTTTAGCGTAGATGAAAATTTATACAGTGACGATAAATCCCCAAATGTCTATAGCACTGGCTTCCCACAAATTAAAAAAAAAAAAAAAAATTGAATATAAAAGTACACGGCTTACATTTGTAAAGTATTCGTCTCTAATGGGGTATCGGTGATACCGATATCGCTATCTGTACCCCGTAGGTTGAATTGCCTTAGCATGTGTCTGTGACAGGTGCGAACCGTGAACACCTTGCATCATTACTATCTGATAGGGATTCTCAAATACTTTGCATATGTATGGTACATTGGACTTCAATGAATTTCAAAGACTCTTGTTCACAAGCTGTTAGATATTAAAAGCACAATTTTTGTTACAAATCGTGGTTACCATACATATTGTTACATATCTATCGGAGGTTCAGGTAAATTTGTCAAAAATGAAAGCAAATGCCATCTGCAGTTTACAGAGAAAACAATGTACAAAATATTTGAAATGCTCGACTTCCTCATTGATAACATTTATGGAAAGTTTGGGGGTAAGAAGTAGGCAAGAAGTAGGAATCCCCATGATCACTAATTGTACTCTCCTTCTTGCACATATGTTTCTTTATGCATATGAATAGGAATTTCTGCTCGGATTGGCAAAGTCAAAAACAAGGTAATTTGGCCAAGACGTTTAAAAACACAATGTCATTTAGAAAGTGGTCAAAGTGTAACAAATGCTATATTTGGGTTATCACTTTCTTAGTAAAGTACAGATTTTCGTACTTTTTGGGGTTGAGTCCCGTATTCGAACCAGCACCGCCATAGTGAGGCAGCACACAAAGTCAGCGATCTAACCCACTCAGCCACCGAGGCTTCCACAAAAATGAAAGTCCGACAACTGGTAGTCTAGATCACGCACTTTGTGTACCCCTCTGACAAGTGTTACTTCCCACGGCTCCCACTGCCGAAAGCTATGAACACACAATGCCAGTGGTCAAATGTGACAAATGTTATATTTGGGATAACACTTTCTAAGAAAAGTACAAATTCTCCTACTTTTTGGGGTTGAGTCCCATCCGGGATTTGAACCCACGCCGCCAGAGTGAGGCACCTAATCGCCAGCACACAAAGTCAGCGATACAGACAAAAATAATTGTTCGTGTCGAACTAGTTGCATTGAATATGCTATCCACCATTTGCTATTATGGTATTTAGGGGGCAGTCGGGTAGCCTAGTGGTTAAAGTGTTCTCTCGTCAAGCCGAAGACCCTGGTTCGAATCCCCACATGGGTATAATGTGTGAAGAACATTTCTGGTGTTCCCCTCGGTGATATTGCTGGAATATTGCTCTCACTCACTCACTCACTCACTCACTCACTGTGATGTTGATTAAAATTTCCAAATACATGTATAGTTGATGTTATGATAAGCAAAGATTAAAACAAGCGGTAAATATTACGAGTTACTCCACTTTATTGTGGAATCTGTTTCTTAATACATAAGGATAGGAATTTCTTCTCCGACTGGCAAAGTCAAAGGTAATTTGTCAAAGAAGTTTAGCTTAATGATCTGGTATCGTTAAATAACCATCAAATAGCCAATTTCCTTCCACTGATTTACTCATTTGAACTGTCTCTTCTGTTTCATACTTAGATCTTTGCATACAATTCGTAGACGTTCTGGTTGACATCATATGACCCAATTGAACTGTCTCTTGTTTCATACTTAGATCTTTGCATACAATTGGTAGACGTTCTGGTTGACATCATATGGCCCAATTGAACTGTCTCTTGTTTCATACTTAGATCTTTGCATACAATTCGTAGACGTTCTGGTTGACATCATATGACCCAATTGAACTGTCTCTTGTTTCATACTTAGATCTTTGCATACAATTGGTAGACGTTCTGGTTGACATCATATGGCCCAATTGAACTGTCTCTTGTTTCATACTTAGATCTTTGCATATAATTGGTAGACGTTCTGGTTGACATCACATGGCATAAAGACGTAGAGGAAGTAATTGAGAGGCACTCAATTACCTATTTCCTCGGAGGAGTCCCAAAACACTTTATTGGATAATCGATTTCGGTTTCAAAAACACAGATATGTTTCGTTATAAAGCTAACACGTCACACGTAGCCTTTGAAGCAGCTTAAGGCGATTTAAAGAAAAGAACATGTTTACTAAACCATGACACCATTGCTGCCAGAGTGCATTTGGTTTAACACCAAACAAGGACTTTAAAAGTTTTATAAGCGCTTAGGCAAAGGGCACAGTATAATAATCAATAATACTTAGCAAGTACGTCAGGGGTCTACCAAGTGATCTACGGTGTCAGAACACGATCACATAATTACTACAATGTATAGATTATAACCGAGTGTTGGCTCTTTTCCCATTTAACACAGCTCAAACAATCAATGGTCAGCAGTCCCTATGTGAGCACGATGACATGCTGTGTTGACGTTCAATGTTACGTCAAGACAATACAACTCTCAATTGAAAGTGTACAGCATTTGTGTAGGGTTTCTTCGAGATCTGCTTTGTGTGCAATCTAATTAATTCCTTTGACGGAGACACATCACTGCCCGAGGTGAATACTGGTACTTATAACACTGAATACTGGAAGAACTGCGTGTTAGTCATGACCTGTGTTTAACATAATTGTACAATGCAAAACTATTCTCCTTGATGTTTTATTTAGTGGGTGAATTCAACTCTCCCTCCCTCTCTCTCTCTCTCTCTCTTTCTCTCTCTCTCTGGTTATGAACTTAACAATTATACATGTCAGTACGGAGAGTTGCTGTTAAGAACACCATCACTGATACAGTAAACTACGTTTATAACGAAAACGCTTATAACGAACTGACGGATAGAACGAACTTACTTTTTTGTCCCGACTGTCTGCTGTAGTTATGCTGTAGATATGCTTATAACGAACGACGGTTATAACGAACTAAAATTAGTGGTCCCTTTGAGTTCGTTATAACCGTAGTTCACTGTATGTCGTTCTCAGAATAATTGAAGTGTAAGACATATGTTCACTCACTCACTCATTATTATTACTGTATTCATTTATGTCCCTTCATATATATATGAGGACGTTTAAAGACAACACTAAAAAGCTAATGACTTGGGGAAATATATGTCCTTAAAAGGTTTTTTTTTAATTATTTTTTTACGGATGTGGAAAGAGGCACATCGGGAACGTCACTGTTCTATCAGACTTTTTTGCAAATACCCACTTACCGTATTTTCATGAAAAGGCACAAACGTTATTCAAAATTTAATGCAAGACAATTAGTGCTTTCGTTCGCCTTTTTATCGACCAACGACGTCAGGGTTTAAATAAAATATGTAAACCAACTAATAAAAAAACATGTTCTGTTTAATATATAGAGGATAACTGAGTTCCACCACTACTACATACATACCAGACTTCACTTATGTGGAACAAAAATAACTACAGTAAACTACGGTTATAGCGAACACGCTTATAACGAACTGACGGATATAACGAACTTACTTTTTTGGTCCCGACTATTTGCTGTAGTTATGCTGTATATATGCTTATAACGAACTACGGTTATAACGAACTTAAATTAGTAATCCCTTTGAGTTCGTTATAACCGTACTTTACTGTACATGTGTTTTTCAATATGGCGAACGTGGACGCCATACTGGATATAGAAACCATCATTCAGTGGCATTCTTGTCATTTGTGGGAGCTAGCCTGTGAAACATAAGATCCACTGAGGTTTCTGAGTAGATGACGTCTACAGAACAAATACAAATAATGCAAGAGAATATATTCAGTCTAGATTATCCGCAAGAACAAATTCCCTTTGACGTTAAAGGCACAAAAGCTTGAAAATTATATGAATGGACCGCTGTAAATCAGTGAGGACACCAGGTGTTCGCGAATAGGGTAAGCATGTCCTGCCATACCGGCAGCGACTGCTACTCACACAAATGTTTTTTGAAACATTTAAGAGCATGGCCCAAAGCAGAGCCAAATCATGTTAATAAAAAAAACTGTTGAACAAAGCAAGCGGAACATATGTGGTGAATTCCACTACCAACAACATTTTGAGCAACAAAGTCAGAGTAATGGCTAGGGTTTTTAATATGGCTGTTGTGGCAGAGTCTCTCACCACTTCAGCAAATCTGTCGTCATAGCTTGTGACGTGTCAGCTTCATTAGTCCAGTAGTGTTTGAGGAGAAGATGTTATACGTATGACGAATCTAGTTTCCAATATGTCCGCAGTCAGCCATATTAGATTTCCGATTATAATGCCTCGAGTAAGGTACATGTTGTGTTGATCTCTTCCACTATTTTATCTTGGCTACCGCCACAGTGAAATTTCTTTCTGCTTAATCAGTTTCAGAGTTTATTCAACAATATAGAAATAATATGATCAATTACATGGTCTAGCTAGTGCTTTATATTAATAGAAGCTTGTCTTACTGTCGGTCAAACCACACGTATCTTCCCAATTTGCTAAAACTCACGTTAGACATAGATTCACTGTTTGTATTTCATGATTTTTTTGTCCCATTTGATAATAATTATATGCTCCAATGAGTTATAACCTAAACGTGCAGGAGTTCATACGGTTAGATTGTGGAGTGAGTGAGTATGGTTTTACGCCACTTTTAGCACCATTCCAGCAAACGATGGCGGGGGACAACATTCATGGGTCTCACACATTGTACACATGTAGGGATCCGACCAGGTCCTCTGGAGTGACGAGCGAAAGCTTGAACCACTAGGCCCGGTTTAACATTGGAACACACCGTTAGTGACAGGGACGACAAACGAAGATTGAAACAACGAAACATGTTTCTCATCAATGATACGGGTTCCTAATAAAGAATACCAGAATATATAAGTGAACAAATTTGTGCAGTTTAATAAAATACAAATTAGTATGAACTATCCATTAAGAAAATTCCAAAAGCTATACCAATGCCATAGATTCATTTTCACTGGATTAAAGAATGGAAATTCACCTGGAAAAGCAGACTTCACGAACATCATAAGAATGGTCCATACTCTTGCCGCTGTTCCCATTCTTGCGAAAGCAGATCAATTCTGCTGGCCCGCCACGTCTGTCCGCTAACTGCAGCCTTCTCAGATTGTGCTGTAGCCGTGTGCAAACTCCCTTATGAATACACATGAAGTAGAATATATAATGCCGTAATGAACGGTATTTGTTGAAGAAACATTTTGTTTTCCCGGAGGACTTAGTTTAATTTAGTTTAACCTAACTATATTTTGTGTTTACTACCTGAGGCGCGGGGTGTAAAACTCGAACAGATATTTACGAAAGTATTGCTTTATGATTGTGTTCAAAACTTCTGTTAGGTCTTACGCTACATGAAAAAATCTTTTGTGTAGTTTGATTTGGGACACAATGCTGCGTATACGATTGCATTTAACGATTAGTGAGTTGGTGTAAGGCTGGTTTTTACCGTAGTTCAGCAAGAGCACGGTGCGTCAGCTGAACGTGATGCAAGTCGATCACCACTTATGTGATCCCCACGCGCAGGCCACTGCGTCTGGCGCTGACGAACCATGAATCATGAACAGGGCGATTCTAGAATTCCAACTCACCACCACAGGGTGCCCGCAGGAACCTCGTATGTGCAGGAATCTACGACGATATTACAGGGGGCACGGGTGGCCCAGTCGTCTAAGGCGCCGCAATTCGCTGTGCAGAGTTGCGTCCCTTGGGCACGTCAGAAACCTATGATTGTGGGTTCGATTCCGGTTCGCCTCGATTATGTTTCTTGGTTTTTGGGCGGCACGGGTGGCACGGATGGCCCTTTTAGCAATATTCCAGCCATATCACTGCGGGGGACACCTGAAATGGGGTTAACATGTAGTACCCATGTCGAGAATCGAACCCGAATCAGCGGATACCATTGGAGATCTTGTATCCAACAATCTTACATTACTTCTGACAACAGGAGCTCCTGTTTGCAAGAACATGACCTGGTCTCTCACAACAGGAGCTCCTGTCTGCAACAACAGGACCTGGCTTCTGACAACAGGAGCTCCTGTATCCAACAACATGACCTGGCTCCTGACAACAGGAGCTCCTGTATCCAACAACATGACCTGGCTCCTGACAACAGGAGCTCCTGTATCCAACAACATGACCTGGCTTCTGACAACAGGATCTCATGTATCCAACAACATGACCTGGCTCCTGACAACAGGAGCTCCTGTATGCAACAACATGACATGGCTCCTGACAACAGGAGCTCCTGTATCCAACAACATAACCTGGCTCCTGACAACAGGAGCTCCTGTATCCAACAACATGACCTGGCTTCTGACAACAGGATCTCCTGTATCAAACAACATGACCTGGCCCCTGACAACAGGAGCTCCTGTATCCAACAACATGACCTGGCTTCTGATAACAGGAGCTCCTGTATCCAACAACATGACCTGGCTTCTGACAACAGGATCTCCTGTATCCAACAACATGACCTGGCTCCTGACAACAGGAGCTCCTGTATCCAACAACATGACCTGGCTTCTGACAACAGGATCTCCTGTATCCAACAACATGACCTGGCTCCTGACAGCAGGACCTCCTCTATCCAACAACATTACCTGGCTTCTGACAACAGGAGCTCCTGTATCCAACAACATGACCTGGCCTCTGACAATAGGAGCTCCTGTATGCAATAACATGACCTGGCTTCCGACAACAGGAGCTCCTATATGCAACAACATGACCTGGCTTCTGACAACAGGAGCTCCTGTATCCAATAACATGACCTGGCCTCTGACAATAGGAGCTCCTGATTGCAACAACATGACCTGGCTTCTGACAATAGGAGCTCCTGTATCCAACAACATGACCTGGCCCCTGACAACAGGAGCTCCTGTATGCAACAACATGACCTGGCCTCTGACAATAGGAGCACCTGTATGCAACAACATGACCTGGCTTCTGACAACAGGAGCTCCTATATGCAACAACATGACCTGGCTTCTGACAATAGGAGCTCCTGTATCCAACAACATGACCTGGCCTCTGACAATAGGAGCACCTGTATCCAACAACATGACCTGGCCTCTGACAATAGGAGCACCTGTATCCAACAACATGACCTGGCCTCTGACAATAGGAGCTCCTGTATGCAACAACATGACCTGGCTTCTGACAATAGGAGCTCCTGTATACAACAACATGACCTGGCTTCTAACAATAGGAGCTCCTGTATCCAACAACATGACCTGGCCTCTGACAATAGGAGCTCCTGTATGCAACAACATGACCTTGCTTCTGACAATAGGAGCTCCTATATGCAACAACATGACCTGGCTCCTGACAACAGGAGCTCCTATATGCACCAACATGACCTGGCTCCTGACAACAGAAACATGAACGCCTGATCAAACACGGGAACACGTCAAAATATGGAATTGCATCTGACAACATTTCTGTCACTGATACGTCAAGGTTTGAAATGTCCTCCACATATCTACCAAAAAACATTGGGACAGCTTTGCTCGGGCCTTGGGTGTTGTAACCTTGATCAAACAAGAGTCACTGAAATCCATTAAGGTCCATTGTATGATTCAGACACTATATCGTGGGCGTGACTTTATGGATCATTTCCCAACGGTGATGATACCTGTTTAATCCTGCATCATAACTGTGAAATTAATTTTATTTATGAAATCAAAACCAATCTAGATATATATCCAAAAGCAAGTCTAGCCTTGTCTGGTCGGCATCTGGACAATTATTTGTTTTAATGACTATCGTAAAGTTGACGTCATTGACCTCTTGTCATACAGTCTTGTGGATAGTTTTTAGTCACTCAAAATATGTATGCATACATCTAAATATCACACAGATGATGCAGTTTCACTGACCTGTTTTATTTGTTGCTCATCACAGAAATCAACACTTCCCCATTGTTGCGGGGACAATACATGTGGATTTCGGCAAAGTTGACGGTTATGACGTAATAGTCTACGAACTGTAATTCCTGCTTCCCTTAATCGATTCCCGACGGTTTTTAGTCGAATATTCTACACATTCTGCTATTCGCGGCGACGAAGTATGGAATGGATGTAGGTACGTGGTTAATATTTTTTGACAAATCAGAATCAAGCATTCTTGATTGTCATGTTAGAATTGTTGTTATTTAATAAATTTGATTGTCGATATTTAAACGTCAGTCGAATTCTAATCTGCCAGACAACAAAACATTACACACGCATCTTCAATGGTGGCTGAAAATGTCATTCGATAGTGAGCTAGTTGATCAATTTGTTTTCAGCTACTGTAACGTTATGGTAATTTAGGATTGACAAACAAGATACTAAAAATACCAGTATTCATAGTGAGTGAAAAGACCGAAATACTTCCAAGCTTCGAATCCAATTTACTAACATTTATCAAGAACTGAAATTGGTCCGTCTATCGAATACTCATTGATAATATCTAAAAATATAATGTTTTTCTCCTAAACGATTGCTTGGTTGGTGCAAAATGTGTTTTTGTTGGATATGGACTGATATGACCAAGGTTTCAGTATATTTTCTTTTTGACAGCATGGTAAACATAAAATAGCAATATTTCAAGAACTTTACAATCAACAGGAGATGTTTGTTTACGTTTACGACGTAAGGGTTGATGTTCAGGAAGTATTTATTTTTGTTAACTCATATGACATACAATCATTAAGTGGAATTTATCTTCAGCAGTTTTCTAGTACAAAATGTACATATATTATAATAGTTGTCCGTGTCATTTACCGTAGTTATCAAACATTTGGTCACAGCAACCTGGTCGGAACAAGGGATTAAAAGAATGTCTTTACATAACTAAAGGCAGATGATCTTCACACACAAACTGCTGCTTAAACGTAGAGTATGTATGTACATGAGGTATTTTGTACATCCCTTTGTTGTGGAGCCCCAAAGATTCAAATGTTATGTTTCCAAATCCCTGCTCAATCCACATCAATATGTAACAATATATTGATATGCCTTGTCAAGTTGCTGTTGAGAGTGGGTGTGTGAGTGAGTTTGGTTTTACGCCTCTTTAAGCAATATTCCAGCAATATCACGGCGGGGGACACCTGAAATGAGCTTCACATATAGTACCTATGTCGAAAATCGAACCCGGGTCTTCAGCGTGACGAGCGAGCGCTTTAACCACTAGGCTACCTGACCTCCCCTGCTTTTGAGGAAGATCGTAATGCATTCTGTATAATTTCAGGAGGTGGTTTGTTTCAGTAGGACAATCAGGGGGTACAGTTATTAGGATATTTACTACTTTCATGAGAGAAGGCCACTCCAAAAGCAAACGTTTACATTAAATACGTCTTCAATACATCTTTTACTCTTCTACCTTTGAATAATATATCATCCAATATGCTTTCTCCTTTGTTATGATTGGAGTTAATCTGTTTGACTGATTGATGTGTAGTGAAGCTAAGTAAGGTGTTGTGAAGTGTGGTGAGGTGAGCTGGGCGGCTGATGTGTCACCAAGCGACGATGCGATGCGTTGCGAGCGACTGGTGTGTCTTTAGGTGCCTTTTTTGTTTAACGCCGCACTCAGTAATATTCGAGCTATATGACAGCGGCCTGTAAATCATCGAGTATGAACTGGACAATCCTGTGATTGACGTCATGAGCATCGATTTACATGAAACAGCCACGCCGGCGAACCTGACCACCCTATCCCGTTAGTCGCTTTTTACGACAAGCAAGGAAACCAATTCTAATCCGGTGTCTTATAGTGAGGGAGATAGGTGATTGATTGATTGGGTATAACAACCACCAATCAAACTGTTGGAATTCCCATGTGGTGATTATTTTGACAATAAGGTCCAGTAGTTACACGGTAGGATGAGATGGTAATGTGACTTGGGTTATAAACCCCCCAGCGAATTGAGAAAGGTACTGAGTGCATACTGATCGATTGACCGGGGTTATAGTACTGTAGCGCTTTGGACATGCCCATGGAGGATGTGAAAATACGGCGCGATATAAATGGCATACTTTTATTAATATAATGTACGCCATTGTTGTTATAGACTCAAATGAGGATTTTAGCTGTGACCCGGATATTATGTTGATGACTTGGATAGTTGTTCCTGATGTCAACCACCTGAATTCCTACATGTCGCCTGAAAAACTTCGTCAATCAACATTCACTTACTAGTCGTGTATTCATAACTATAAACCACGACCATACGATTGAATACATGCATTCATGAACTATATAACTGGAGCGAAGAAACAATATCTTCAATCATGAACTGAGTCGGTGGGGGAGCCTTGTGGTTAAAGCGTTCGCTCGTCACGCCGAAGACCCGGGTTCTATTCCCCACATGGGTACGAGGTGTGAAGCCCATTTCTGGTGTCCCCAGCCGTGATATTGCTGGAATATTGCAAACTCACTCACTCATACATGAACTGTTTAAAAACATGATATTGAAATCTTATTTATGTCTGTTGGCAGACAGGTTGCGTGAATGCGTGATTCGGGAACAACTGGCTTCAACGAGGGCAAAATGTGAGTGGTTGATGGATGGATCTTCAACCACCACCGGTACTGAGCAAGGTGAAAACCTACAGCCAGCGATTCTCTTCAAAAACATGCACGTAGCTATCACTGTGTTTAGTCATTTCACAAATCACAATTTTGGGTTACTCTAGTATATGTCATTTCATTTTGATTCTGAAGGTGTAGAGGGGACCGCTGTGTTTGATTAGACAAGATAATTTCGATATGTCCATTGACAGAAATAGTGTGTAAAGTTTAAGGTGAATTTAACTGTCCACTCAGACACGAGCATGTTTGTAGGCCTTACTAATCAGTTAGTAGTTTTCATTAGGTGGCCTATCGTCACTAACTTGAAAAGTTTAAGTAGTAATATGATATACTTTCATTGTCAGCAGGCCCGTGAAGATTCCGGGGTAGAATAGGTCTTCAGCAACCCATACTTGCCGTAAAAGGCGACTATGCTTGTCGTTGAAGGCGACTAACGGGATCGGGTGGTCAGGCTCGCTGACATGGTTGATGCATGTCATCGATCCCAATTGCGTGGATCGATGCTCATGATAATAATCACTGGATTGTCTGGTCCAGACTCGATTATTTAAAGACCGCCGTCATATAGCTGGAATATTGCTGAGTGCGGCGTTAAACAACAAACATACAAACCAATCATTGTCAGCTTCCTGTGTTAGAGAAATTCTAATAGGAATACAGCCGCAACACATTCATGAACATGTAGCAGGGCGTGGTGCGTGTGTGTCCGGCCACTGGGCTTCTACTCAAAACATGAGGCAGTTGAATGAAGATGAATTTCATTCGCGTCAGATGATGGGAGGTAAGCTGGAAACAGAAGAGCTCCCTCCATCATTAATATGTGAGTGAGTGAGTGAGTATGGTTTTACGCCGCTTTTAGCAATATCCCCGCAATATCTGGAACACCAGAAATGGGCTTCACACATTGTGCCCACGTAGGGAATCGAACCCGGGTCTTCGGCGTGACTAGCCAACGCTTTAACCACTAGGCTACCCGACCGCCCTATTAATATGTAATACAATCTAGTTTAAGTTAACAGAAAATCATTATAAATTTTACAGGGAAGTTTATTGTTGAAGTATACTGTTGAAGACCATGTGCTCAATAGATGTAACATAAATGTGTATACTGGCAATATTTATTTAGAATAAATTAAATAATAATGTAATTAAATATATTCTGCTTTAAAGAAAAGATGCGATACCCTTTCTATGAATATATTTGTTTCAAGAACAAGTTGGAAAAAATATGAATATTGAAATGTTTCTCATCTGGAATAGAAGTCCATGCAGAATGCTCGGGAGGACAGGTGAGAAAGGGAGTTTAGATAAGTGGACCAAAGGGCCAATCTTTAAGACTGGTATATACGTATCAAAACCACATGCCACGAAACGTATCTAAACCACATGCCATGGCACGTATCTAAACCACATCCCATAACACGTATCTAAACCACATGCCATGACACGTATCTAAAAAACATGCCATGACACGTATCTAAACCACATGAAATGACACGTATCTAAACCACATGCCATGACACGTCTCAAACCCACATGCCATGACAAGTATCTAAACTACATCCCATGACACGTATCTAAATTACATGCCATGACACGTATCTAAAGCACATGCCATAACACGTATCTATAACACAGGCCATGACACGTATCTAAACCACATGCCATGGCACGTATCTATAACACAGGCCATGACACGTAACTAAACCACATGCCATGACACGTATCTAAACCACATGCCATAACACGTATCTATAGCACAGGCCATGACACGTATCTAAACTACATGCCATATCAAGTATCTATAACACAGGCCATAACACGTATCTATAACACATACCATGACACGTATCTAAACTACATCCCCTGACACGTATCAAAACCACATGCCATGACGCGTATCTAAACCACATGCCATGACACGTATCTAAACCACATACCATGACACGTACCAAAACTACATGCCATGACACGTACCAAACTACATGCAATGACACGTATCAAAACCACATGCCATTACACGTATAAAATCCACATGCCGTGACACGTATCTAAACCACATGACATGACCCGTATCTAAACCACATCCCATAACACGTATCAAAACCACATGCCATGACACGTATCAAATCCACATGCCATGACACGAATCTAAACCACGTGCCATGATACGTATCTAAACGACATCCCATAACACGTATCCAAACCACATGCCATGACACGCATCTAAACCACATGCCATGACGCGTATCTAAACTACATGCCATGAGATGTATCAAAAACACATGCCATGACACGTATCTAAACCACATGCAATGGCACGTATCAAAACCGCATGCCACGACACGTATCTAAACCACAGCACGTATTTAAACCACAAGCCATGATACGTATCTGATTGGGATATCAGGACGACAAATAACAGACCATGAAAATAGGTGAAATGTTTAGAAGTAATTCGTTTCAAAGCATTAATACTGGTCCATTATTTTAAAAATAAGAAACAACCCAGGTCAATGACTGAATGTTTGTATTATCACAGAAACGTCCTGCTTCCGACACATATATACTTTGAGCAACATCAAGACACTAGACAAATCAATACATTTGCATCTCTAATATGAGCATCTCTAATGCGAGCATCACCAGTGACAGTTGGAGGGGGACACAGCATTGGACCACATACATTGTTTTACACAAGGTCAGCTTTATGCTTTGTTTCTGTTCATGCGTTCCACCGAATTTAGTAAGTCGTTTGAACAGCTGGAATCGGTTGCATTACTGATTCACAAGTTCTCCATTGGCTGATTATACTCTACTTCTACACATATAATTCTATAAGTACAAATATGATTGTTAACAGTACTAGTTGGTAAAGGACTATGGCTGTATCTTAACATTCAAACCGTGGAATAGATTGTGCTGTGCCAAATACATTACTAGAACAAGTTAAAGATCAACCGATTCTTTCACATTACTATAGACAATGTGTCATGGTATGACAGAATAACAATAAGTAATAAGAAAGAAGCAGGTTTTTTAATTTCTTAGTTCTGTCATGGTATGATAGATTTACTATAAGAAATATGAAAGGAACTGGTGTTCCTTAACTTTTTAAAGTACAGTAAACTACGGTTATAACGAACTCAAAGGGACCACTAATTTTAGTTCGTTATAACCGTAGTTCGTTATAAGCATATATACAGCATAACTACAGCAAATTTTAGGGACCAAAAGGTTAGTTCGTTATATCCGTCAGTTCGCTATAAGCGTGTTCGTTATAACCGTAGTTTACTGTATGTAATAATAGAATTGTAGGCCCATACAGAGGAACAAAGCTTTGTTTTACCCTTTGGCTATTGTTCAAATGTCACCTCATTCTTGACGAATAATGCCTAATTTTGTCGTTTTCATGGACAGTTGTCGGGACAGTGCACAGTATGATTAGAAAATCAACAGACCAAACATCTAAGGTACTATTGGTAGTAGATATCGTATGCATGATTCATTATATGTACAGTGATAGATCAATAACTAATTGGGATGCAGCTAGATAACACTATTGTGAAATCATGACAACAGGTAAGTACCTACATATACAAAGTGATTCACAAACTGGTTATAAAGTGTATATCACATCCAAGAACATTGATGATGTATGGCATATACATTTCACTACAAAAATGTGTGATGATTATTAGTGTCGGAAAGTTTAACACACGACAATGCCAGGAAATAACGATTAGCCGTCCAGACATATTCCATTGGTCGGAAAAGGCAAAAAGTGGCGAACATTATATGAATGAATCCCTGAAAATCATGATGACACCGGGTGCGAAAACGGTAGACATGTTTTTCCATACCGGAAGCATCCGCCACTCACGAAGTTTGCTAAGAGCAAAGTAAACACATACAAGCCATGTTTACGAATGTGTTTCAATCCTAAACGGTATGCACATTTAGTGTGTTCTGTCTAAACAAGTTTTGGTCTAAATACATGAAATAAGTTATCGCCCTATGGCCTAAACACCACCCAAACGCAACATCCTCATAATTCAAACATGTTGAGAATTTAAACACCTTTGCACATGTTTAGAGTGAGTGAGTATGGTTTTACGCCGCTTTTAGCAATATTCCAGCAATATCACGGCGGGGGACACCAGAAATGGGCTTCACACATTGTACCCATGTCGGGATTCGGAGCCGGGTCTTTGGCGTGACGAGCGAACGCTGTAACCACTAGGCTACCCGATCGCCCGCACATGTTTAGAATGTAAACACCTTTAAACGTGTTTAGAATATTTTAAATACCTTCAGAAGTTACACGTGAAATAAAATCATTATCCGTGTCGTCCATCGTGTACCGCTAGGCTACTGCATTCAGCGTGAATGTGCCACTAGGTAGTGCCCACGAAAAGCTCGTGCAAAAAGTCACGTGACTAACGGTGCGGACGAGAAATCGCCCATTCCTCGTTGTACCCCTAAATACCGTTAAGCGAAGCATAATACCGTAGCGAATAACTGAAAACATGTTATTAACGCTGTTTTTACGGTTTATAAGTTGGATAAAGTACTCCTCCTCGGTTATCGTCGGGACTCTCAGGTATCGGCAAGGTGAGACCTCGGCGCTTCGCGCCTCGATCTTACCTTGCCGATACCCTCTTGCCGAGGTCTTACTTTCCCGACCATAACCTCGGAGTCGTGCTTTATCCTACAAAATAATCATATACATCACCTCCCACTGACATAACATAATCAGTGGAGACCAATGGACTACCAAAGGATTGAAGCGTGTAGACATTGGAGCCTGCTTCATACGCAAGTGATGGAACACACTTGTCGGTCAGTTTGCAGGTGCCTGTTGTGGAGATGCTGAACCCGATGCAAGCAGTGGTGCAGAGACACTTGTAGTTGCACTCCTTGGTGGTCATCCCTGTTTCCTGGAAGATGACGTGGTCAGCGTTGTTGATCATCTTCCCTACACCGGACATATGGAACACAAAGGGCAGGAACCCTGAGGACACCGCCGGTCGACTCTGGGCAGCACACGTCAGCTCCTCTGAAACAAAACCAGTTGAGTGCAACTTCTATGGAAACAATATTTCTATGACATGTGGATCAGTTCAATGTAGGGGTAAACGTTTGAATGACGCAGGGTGTCGACGTTAACAACTTGGAGAAACGAACGAGAAATGTTTTGTCGACGTTTACAACTTTGGAGAAACGAACGAGAACATGTTTGATGCTGACAGAACAAAGATGATTATTATGATGAATGTGAGATTGAAACCCACGAGCGGCTGTTCCTGGTCAGATATATACCATTCACCGAACTTGTGTGCTCTAAATGCGTGCGAATGATAAAATAAAAAGCAATTTAACTTGCAAATAACAAGGTCACTAAGTGATGCCACACTGTCTTAGACGTTTGTTAATGTTTGTACCACCACAATCTATAACCTCTGTGGCACCATGTTATGAACAAGGTGGAAGTCAATATAAGTCAAAGGTGGAGGTCATAATTCATGTCAAGACATAGGTTACATGCAAGCATCATTGTCAGTTTCTAAAGTGCTGGCATATCCATGAGCATGAAACTTGATAGTTGCAAATATCTAAACACGATATCAGGTGTCAACGGCATGTACATAGAAGGTCAAGGTTATTGTTAAGGTCAAAGGGAAAAGTGTCATCATGGATTGCTATGCACTTTGACCTGATAGTTACTGTGTTGTTGCATCTTTAAACTGTCTAATGTCTGTAGGGTGAAGGGCACTCGTGAAGAGCAACCTCCCCGTGGTGAGTGCTGGGTAACGCTTATCGCTCTTCCCCCGTGTGGACCCGGGGTAGAATGTGTCCACAGCACCACATTGCTGGTCGTAAAAGGCGACTGAATTGAGCAACCTGTTTGCCGTGGGTTGCGCCCCTGTGTCGGTGGAGGACGGGAGTCTGGTAGTTGAGGGCACTGGTTCCAGGAGCAGTGTTCCTTTGCCCAACACACTACTTTGACCCTTCCTTCGCCTAGACGGGTGGTAGGATGGGCCCGATCCTATCAATCGGCTGGCCATGCCAAGCCCTGTGCGTAATATTGTATATGCACACGTGTGTTATATTTTAATGTATATTTTTGTCTTTTTCATGTTTAACTCGTCCGAACTCAAAATATTTTGATTGAATTAATTGCCTAGAGTCTTTGAACCCATCAAACTGAACCCCTTTGCCATTTATAAAGCCATTCATGGATATTGTGGAGATGTGAAAAAAAGGCCCGACTTCGTCCTGCCTCCCTTCTTGTTGAATATGTAAGGAAACAACAATCCCTCAATTTATTATCAATCAGCAGCGAGTCAGACTCCACCTGAACCAACAACAACTGCAAGTGTCAATCTGTCCTCCAGGTGGTAAAGCGAGTGGAGGCTCTACTATTTTAGTCAGACAGAACTTCATTCACAGTCCTGTACATTTAAATACTGATCTTAAAGCTGTTGCTATCCGCATTACTTTGCACATTGCATTTACTTTGTGCTCTTTGTATATCCCACCTTCATCTGCTCTTCGACAGTCTGATCTACAGAATCTATATGATCAGCTCCCTTAGCCCTGCATCATCATGGACGATTTAAACGGGCATAACACTCTAAGGGGGAGTGCAAGTACAAACAACAAGGGGAAAGTTATTGAAGATTTTATTTCTGCTAACAGTTTATGTCTATTTAATGATGATTCAAGCAGATGCTTACATCCTGCTACTGGAACCTATTCTGCCCTTGATCTGTCCCTCACAGATTCAAACATTTACAATGACTTTGAATGGTCTGTGCATGACGACCTATGTGGAGGTGATCCCTTCCCTACTGTCTTAAATACTGTAACACCGGATGATGACCCGCCTTCATCACGGTGGAATTTTAGCAAGGCCAAATGGTCCTTGTATGAAACTTTACGTGTTGACATATTTAAATCTGACACGTTCATACATGTTCCTGATCTCATCCAGTTTTTTTCGAGTCAACTCAATGGTAATTGCTGACAAATCAATTCCTAAGTCCTCTGCAAATCCTCATATTCGTAAACTATGGTTTAACTTTGATTGCAAACAAGCAAGAAAGTGTAGGAAGAAAGCGGAAAAAATATTTTCACCAACATCCTACGGTTCACAACTTGAATACTGTTAAAATTACTAGTGCCAAGGCACGACGTGCTTATAAACAAAATAAGCGTCAATCTTGGAGGAACTATGTCTCCAAACTTAATTCACGTACACCCATATCCAAGGTGTGGAACATAGTTCAAAGAATAAAAGGCAAAGGTTCAAAATCTTCTGTGCTCCATCTAAAAAAAGGTGACAGATAAATAACTGATAAATTAGATATTGCAAATAAACTTGGCGAAACTCTTGCCAAGATTCTTCATCAACAAATTATGTCCCTGAATTTCAGAAATATCAGAAACAACGGGAAAAAAGAAGAAGTTAATTTTCAGTCTAATAATGGTGAAGATTACAACGCAGTATTTTCATTGCATGAGCTACATACCGCTCTTGAGCAAGCTCATGATACTGCAGGGGGTGATGATAATATCCACTATCAGTTACTGAAGCATTTGCCTGAATCATGTCTTGAGACACCCTTAAATATCTTTGACCAAATATGGACTTCAGGGAATTTTCCTCCTTCGTGGCATTATGCCATTGTAGTACCCATACCAAAACCTGGTCGGGATCATACAGATCCCTCAAATTACCGTCCTATATCTTTAACAAGTTGCGTGTGCAAAACCGTGGAACGAATGGTGAATAATAGATAAGTATTGTATTTGGAAACCAATAATCTTATTACAAATATTCAATGTGGTTTCCGCAGAAATCGAAGTACTATAGATAATTTAGTACGACTAGAATCCTTTGTCAAAATGCTATTGTAAGCATACAACATGTAGTGTCAGTTTTCTTCGATCTTGAGAAGGCCTACGATACTACCTGGAAGCATGGCATTCTAAAGGATTTACATGATTTGGGCTTGAGACGTCGTTTACCTCATTTTATATCACAATTTTTATCAGACAGACAATTTCAAGACCGAGTGGGTTCCACCCTGTCTGACCATTATTATCAGGATCAGGATGTCCCACAAGGAAGTATTTTGTCTGTTACATTATTTAGTATCAAAATAAATAGTCTTTCAAAGGTTTTAAGTGATTCAGTGGATGGATCACTTTTCGTGGATGACTTTAATGTTTCTTGCCGTGGAAAAAAATATGCATACAATAGAGAGGCCGTTACAAATCTGTCTCAGTAAAATTCATAAATGGTCCCTTGAAAATGGGTTTAAATTTTCTACATCAAAAACTAATTGTATACATTTCTGCAGAAAATATAAGCCGCATAAGGACCCTGAACTGTATTCAAATGGTATCCCTATCAAAGTTGTGAAGGAGGCCAAGTTCTTGGGACTTATTTTCGATAGCCATTTAACTTTTTTACCTCATATTAAATACCTAAAAGGTAAATGCCTGAAGACACTTGATTTGTTAAAGTCTTTTCTAATTCGAAGTGGGGAGGGGATCAGACAACACTCTTGCACTTGTACAGGTCCCTGATCCGTTCAAAACTTGATTACGGCTCCGTCGTCTATGGTGGAGCCTGCAAAAGTAACTTAAAAAACCTAGATACTATCCATCATCAGGGCCTGTGGCTTTGCCTTGGAACATTTAGAACGTTTCCAATTCACAGTCTGTATGTAAACTAATGTCCAAAAGAAACGATACCACGTGTTTAAAAGGCCATTACAAAAAAACTAAACGATACAGACATTGCAAATTGGTATATGACTTGTGAGTAATGTTTTCACAGTATGTGTAAAAAATTCATTGTAATAAATCCTTTACAATCATGAGGACAGACATGTAAAGACGCGGGGCGTCCATTTGAACACAGTTGATGAGTCAAGTGTGGAAAATGTCACAACACACGTCTCAAAGTCACGTTAGTACCGGGTATGTCCACCGTGAGCGTCAATACACGCTAGTACACGTCTACGGGCTCATGACGTCAGACGTCTGATGACGTTGGGGGGGATGCGTTGCCATTCATGGAGGAGGCATTGTTCCAATTCCTGGAGGTTAACTGGAGGCACAGGGCGATTCCTGACTTTGCGGCCGAGAATGTCCCACATGTGTTCGATTGGGTTCTTGTCCGGTGTACATGCCGGCCATAGTAAAACGTCAATGTTGGCGTTTGCTAGGAAGTTCTGGGTCAGCCTTGCCGTGTGAGGCCTCGCATTATCGTGCTGGAAAATGATACCATTAGGCTGTTGTTGGATGAATGGCACCATAACTGGTTGTAAGATGTCATCACGATAACGCTGCGCATTCAGGTTTCCTCGAATAACGACGAGTCTCGTTTTGACGTCACCGCAGATTCCACCCCAAACCATAAAACCTCCGCCTCCATATGGCCTGACTTGATGGATGCAGTTCGGTGCCAAACGTTCACCTACTCTTCGGTACACACGCTGCCGGCCGTCGTTCCTGAAGATGCAAAATCTGCTTTCGTCAGAGAACATGACACGTGCCCAGTTCCACCGTTGCCACCGTCGAAGTCGCCTGGCCCATATCTGTCCGTTAAGTCGGTGTTAAGGTGTCAGGAACGCTCCGCGGTAGGGGCGACGTGCTCGGATACCATGTGCCCGCAGTCTCCTGTACACGGTTTGTCGATGTATCACGTGTCCCAGTGCCGTCCGTGCCGTTAACGTCGCCGTTACGAAGCGGTTCCGAAGGTGAAGTACCCGGAAGTGGCGGTCTTCAAGAGGCGTGGTCACCCGTGGTCTCCCGGTTCTCGGCCTGTCTGCTGTCCGACCTGTTTGACGCAACCGCTGCATTAACCTGGTGACGGTTATGCGCGCGCATCCTAACCTTTAGAAGCGGATGAACCTTCTCTTAAACAACGCCGTCTGAAATTATCTTTACAATATGTCACTAAATTATATTCTAATCTGTCAAATCCAGCTTTTAATTGCGTCTTTAATCCTCTTTACCAAGATATTTACAATAAAAAATCATCTCTTGTTCCACCCTTCGGAATAAGAATCCAGTCTGCCATGTTTGCTTCTTATATCAAATTGCACGAAATTGCTCCCTCTCAACTGTTTTCATCACCTCCTTAGCAAATGGTAAGACCACATTAACCAAATTAAAGAAATCAGACACTAATCAACTAATTTACCAACAAGAACACAATCAATTAAGAAACACTCCTGACACTTATAAATCTATGTTTACTGGTGGTTCCAAGGATGGTGGTGCTGTTGCTAGTGCCACTGTCATTGGATCCAGGACAATATCTTCGCGATTAACAGATAACAGTTCCATCTTTACAGCAGAAGCAAAGGCCATTTTTACCGCACTAAAATATATCAAAAACAAATATAAACACAAACAATTCATGAATTTTTCAGATTCTCTTTCGTGCCTTCAGGCGAATGAAAATATATCATACAAACATCCACTTTTAATCCAAATTCTTGAATTATTTAATGATCTTGCTAGTGGCGATTATGACATCGTCTTTTGTTAGTTACCAAGCCATGTTGGTATCATTGGTAACACAATGGCCGATGCTGCTGCAAAAGCAGCACTCAACAAATCTGTGACACCACTTCTTATCCCATACACTGATTATAAACCTGTTATTAGATATTACATCCGTGATCTGATGCAAAAGAAGTGGGACACCCAAGTACGGTGTAGATATCAATAAATTACATCAAATTAAACCAAATATCGGTTACACCTACTTGGGCTGTCAGAGGTCATTATGCGACGATGTCGTATTGGCCATTCGAGATATACACAGGAATATTTATTAAAAGGTCAGGATCCTCCGTTTTGTATCCCTTGTGATGAAAGAATCACCGTCAAGCATGTCCTGCTTGATTTTTCCATCACAAGGGATAAATATTTTAGTGTCAAAACAGTTAAGGACCTTTTTACTGATGTTAATTCTCATTTAACATTATGCTTTTTAAAATAAATCGAACTTGTCCATAAATTCTGATGTACTGAATGTATTATTTTATTAATTAGTAGTGCTTATTAATAACTTATATTGTGAGTGGCTTGCCCTCGAGGGGGATTGAAGTAGCGTAAAATTATTGTCCCCCTAAGAGGGTATGTAAGTCCCAAATCATTCGAGTGAGTGAGTGAGTTGTGTTTAACGCCGCTTTTAACAGTATTCCAGTTATATCGCGGCGTGTCAGCTTAATGTGGGAGCCCGAAGTGATGCAGGTCTCAGACGTTTATCACTTCGATGAAACCCGCGAGCACGGGTACGGTGCTGACAAACCTAGAAACATAATCAGGGCGAACCGGGACTCGAACTCACAATCAGCGAATCGCGGCGCCTTAGACGACTGGGCCACCCGTGTCCCCTCCAAATCATTCGAAGTATTTTTATGCATACCAGACTTTTAAAACGTAGCATTTTTGTCATGTTAATCTTAGGCTTAACTGGTAAACTATCGCCAGTGACTGAAGGGATGATATAAATCCAGACAGGGTCCATGCAGGAAGCAAAGGCACTGTAAGTCCCCATGGTCCCTGGTGTGGTGATCTCCCATTAGTTTCTGACGATCTCTAGCCTATTTTTATAATGTGTTGTTCACTGATACTTATGGCTTTTATATATTCTAAACTAGTTTTGGATCGAATCTGTGATATTCTAGTTATTGAACTGTCCATCGTTGACAGCGTTTTATTTAGTCTAAATCTATGTATTATTAATGTCCTTCTCGCTGAAATACTGCCGATGTGACGTTAAATCTTATCTCAGTGTGAGGCGCCTAATCGCCAGCACACAAAGTCAGTGATCTAACCGACTCAGCCTCCCACTGAGGCTCAGATATTAATGCGTTAGATATAATTTATACTTTACCAAGAAAGTGTAAACCCAAATGAAACCATTTGTTACATTTTGAGTGAGTGAGTGAGTGAGTGAGTGAGTATAGTTTAAAGGCCGCTTTGAGCAATATTCCAGCAATATCACGGCAGAGGACACCAGAAATTGGCTCCACACATTGTACCATTTGGGGAATCGAACCCGGGTCTTCGGCGTGACGTGAAAACGATTCAACAACTAGGCTACCCGACTGCCCTTCGGCAGAACAGAGAGTGTACCATTGGTATGCTGCAGTTAGGAGCTAGACATGACACCGTCGCTAGACTCTTTGGTTGCACTCGTGCAACAATAACCAGGACACTGGCACGAAACCAGCAGACCGGTAAGACAGCAACCGGTCAGATAGGGAAGACAGGGACCTTAAGACAGAACAGACACTGGACATAACAAGGACAGGTAGAACACGTGTCACCACACCCAACGAAGACGCAATTTGCGCATTCTTCATTTAAGAAAGAACTTCTTCTGTCAGTCTCTGCACAGGATCCCGACGACTGAGCCACCGTGGTATTCGGGGGAATGATCATGACGTTGTCACGTCAACATCAACGCCAATAAGTCAGGTGGTACCGCACTACATAAAAATGGTAGAACAGGACCTGGCAGATAGTCTTGTCTTCGCGTGAGAGCAGATTTCAGCTCTTCAGAGTAGATGGTAGTATCGCAGAACGCATAGCTCGAAGTAATGCGAGGAGACCTACAATTCGGAGGTGGCAACGAAATGATTTGCGCCGGGGTATTTGGACGTGATCAGGAAAAGACGGATTTTTTTTGCTGAGCGATACATCGACGATATAGTTTGACAGATCTTGTTTCAACTTGACACCACGATTATATCTGCAACGCGTATCGTCCGCCACATTCTGCAAGACGCGTGAAGATCCGGGGTAGAATAGGTCTTCAGCAACCCATGCTTCTCGTAAAAGGCGACTAACGGGATCGGGTGGTCAGGCTCGCTGACTTGGTTGATGCATGTCATCGATCCCAATTGCGTGGATCGATGCTCATGATATCAATCACTGGATTTTCGGGTCCAGACTCGATTATTTACAGACCGCCGTCATATAGCTGGAATATTGCTGAGTGCGGCGTTAAACATCAACCCAAAACTTCCTGCAAGTCAATAACGGCAACATGTTGCCTTAATACAAACCGGGATTCGAATCCAAGGTTTCAGGCGTGACCAAGGGAAGCAACTTTGTCCCTCATCGCGTATTTTGTAGATGTATAAAAACTAATGAGATTACCACTTTGGTTACAGAACTAATTGTTGATACTTACCGCAGTTTTGAACGGTGTCGACAGTTGCATTGTTAGTCGTTTGGTCTGAAAGAGTGAAAAACTGAAACAGTGACGGATATAGACAAAAGCATGCAACGTGTTTTATATAGAGGATTCATCACGAGTGTTTTTTAATATGGGAAATATCAACCGAGTCTTAGTTAATCGGTATTTGCCGAGCCTTTGGCGAGGCAAATACCGATTAACGGGACGAGGTTGATATTTCCCATATTAAAAAACACTCGTGATGAATTCTATTTATCATTTTCACATTTTTGCTTCCCAATTAAGGAATAATTGCATTAAACATTAACATCAGCAACTTGTCGAAATCTTACGTATAGATCGTGCGTAGTGATACATGTTTTCCATAGCCGTGTAAACCAAAATAAACAACCTCCTAACTCCTTTATGGCATATTCCTTCGCTGAGAAAAAAAGTTCCTCGGATTATTTTAAACAAAATACTTGAACAGACTTTTGCAGAATAATTGAAATAATGTCTCCAACATCAAAGGTATCAATGTTGTTTGTAAACACCTTCTCACGTGCACCGGCGCAAAAAGTCCCACTTCCGGTTACCTAATTTGCATATCTAATTTGCATACTTATGTCATTGGGGTATGACATACATGTTTTTATGTCATAAGCTTATGTCATGGATAAATGCTTCAGTTAAATGATAAAATGAAATTAATTATGAGGACGTCCCTTCTCCCGTGTTACAATCTTGAGATCCGAGATCATCACCTAAATTCCCATCTACTCTGAACATATAAGTTCAGATCACTGCAAAATACCCATCTTGTCCGAACACTAAACCAAAGGGCGACCTTTGTTGCTAGTCGCCACTAATTAATTGTCACCCTTGTGTCGAACAAGAGTGTCGAGGTTGAAAGTCGCAACCTCAATTTAATAAAAGAGAAGTTGTGACCCACGGGAATGAAGAGCTATCTTGTCCGTGTGTCGTATACGGTTGACTTGCTTTTCTTGTTGAATAACCTTGACTTCGCTGACAAAACACGAGGCTTATCGAAGATATTTGTAGACACGAATGTGCCATAAGTGTCCACAACGAAGTATATTCTATGGCACTGTTTCCCAAAGAGTTCGTGAATGAGATCGTTCGAACTGAATATTCCGGACACCATATCGTAATTCCGAGACAAAATGTTGAAATTTAAAACATCGTACAAAACCGAAACATATGTGTTGAGCTCCACTATTATCTTCACATATATGAACTTTTTAACAAAATGGCGGGTAATGCTGATAAGAAGCTTCAGCTTTCAGTGCAATGGCAATCTAAAAGTGAAATCAAGAAAAAAAATGAAAAAAGTTACATTTACATTTTGAGCAAAAAAGATTTAGTATTATCCATAAATTACATTTTAGATATGGTTGCGGAGGATGCACAGTTAATTTATAACCGTATCATAGGAATAAAACGCTGCCATTTAGCGATGATACCTCGTGTTTCCGAAACAAGCGAGAACACTTTAATGATGCATAGAAATGTTAACGTAGCCCAATTTTGACAAGCGGTCTGTTATGAGTTGTTACATTTTGATAAATATGAACGTAGGTAATGAATGAAATAACACACTAGTGCACGTTATCTTTTCTCATGAACGCTGGTTTGGTAAACTTAACAACACGTGTCGAGTTCTCTTTATATCTGCTTGGTTGCTGCTGGCCTTTATTCTCACCCTAGACGCACTATTCTCCCGTTATATTCCCCTGACAACGCCAGACCCCGTAGAGCCGAATCGTATTACGTCAACGTGTTGCCGTGGCCTGCACGCTCCACAGACATTTCCCCATACAACACCTCTGGGATGTCATAGATCGTCATGGTCGATAACGACCACATCCTCAAGCTTACCGACAAGATCTGATCCAGACCCTCCAAAAAGAAGGGCAGCGTATCCCGCGTGACGTCATCACACTACTGACTTTTTCTGTGCGCCGGAGAGTTTTTGCGTGTCTTGTACCAGGGGTGGTCATACACTCTATTATTGTGAACTATTTTAGATGTGTGTGCCCTTTGGCCATTACGTTGAAAGCTTGTTATTGCTACTCTACCTCAATTGGGGCAACTGTCAGGCCAATATCGGATGCAGTATGACTGTCATTTTCAATGTCGATTTTTTTCTTTTCAATGCATGAGCATGTGTTTATGAATCAAATAGTGATGATACCAGGTGTTCGCGAAAAGATGAGCGTATCCTGCCCCACAGGTGGCATCCGTCACAAACACATGCAAAGTCAAGTCAAATTTATCACTTGAAAAAAACATTGGAACATATGGTACAAGTCTAAATAGGGAATAGAGCTCAACGCATAATCTATCAAAGGGAGACTTTACTACAGACACAGTTGCAACTTGGGGGATAAATACGAGTTTGTACAAATGTGAACGGTGACAGTTTCGTAGTGCTATTTGCTGTCAGCTGCCCAGCATTATTTCTAATCACCACCACTCACCAAAGCGCATGGAGACTACATTTGATCCGTCCGATGCCCCGACACTAATGTACTTGACCTCAATGATATCAGCGTCCGACCAACTGATGATCTGCTGGCCACCGATGACTGTCCCCTTGCCCATCCTGATGGTGCACTGGTCCCAGCTGACCCAGTAGGGGTGAAAGGTCGAGTCGCACGTGAAGAAGGAACCTCCCTGGTTCACCTGAGACTCTGGTGTCCCTGGGCAACCAGAGCATATTTTCCTGACTGCCGAGAAATACTGTCCACCGGTGTCTTTATTCAGATCGATGTTGTAGCCATTGGATGTTGACTTGGTCGGCCCCCACAGCCCAAACTGTATGTTCTTACATCCCTTCAGTTCAACCTTTGCTGACCAGTGGCCGATGATGTTGAGACCGTATGGATCTGCATAGTTGTTTTTTATTGCTGTGTTGAGCTGCGCTAAATATAAAAAAAGAAATATGTTTTAGTGATCTAACGCACAATACGTTCTTGTATATTCGTTGTCGCATTTTTGTATGCACATCTATATCGCGACAATTACACTAAACAACTGCTCATAAAAATACAATTTAAAGATAATCTTCCGGTATGTGATTTCGAACCCTCGAATGTAGCACCCAAGCTGCATCGAATTCTTTGCCACAAACGTGTGCTTTAGATTATTATCAGTATATGTCACATTAAGCCCAGTCCTACATTGTCGAATGACGCGGATAATAATAATAATAATAATTGATTTATAAAGCGCCTTATATCCATCGACAGTTGCTCACTGGCGCTGTGACAAAGTTAAAAAGTAATGTCTATGTACATATGCCAACAATCAGGAGATCTATTGAAAAGTTGAAGTGAAGAAGTGGGTTTTGAGGAGAGACTTAAACGTTTCCTTAGAAGCAGAGTTTCTCAGATTCAAAGGCAAAGAGTTCCATAACTGTGGACTGCAAAAGGAAAAGGCACGGTCAGACATAGCAGAAGTAGACAGAGGCTGATACAGTAGAGTTCCACCAGAGGATCGGAGAGCGCGCTCTGGAGAGTACAGGGATATACGATCTTTGAGATAGTCTGGATAGTCGCTATTGTTGAGGCAGTCGTGAGTGATGATACATATCTTATAGTTATACGAAAAGAGATTGGAAGTCAATGTAGTGCTTTGAGGACAGGACTGATGTGATGTGATATACACATTCAGTGACCCTGCGTCGTGGTGATTTCCCACCTGCAGTATATATAAGACGGCATGAAAAACTTTTAACATCAGCATTTTCTTCAGCAGGTCCCTCAAGCTGTTGTCATAACTACCTTAAACTGTGAAAAAAACCCAGACAACTTGCACGACAACACGAATATTTTGTCAAACATATATGAAAACGAAGAGGGGACATGGTCATCAATATCTCCAGCAATAGTGCATCTATATAGGATTGCAAATGTGCTTTCATTATTCCTTTGGATACTCAAAGTTTATAGTATAAAGAAATAGTGAAAAAGGACACTGATGAATGCATGAAGTAATATGTTCTGTATCAAACACACACTGGTGAATGAATAAAGTAACATTTTCTCAATCAAAGACACACACATACACTGATGATTGAATAAAGACATATGTTCACTTTCAAATACAGACTGATGAATGAATAAATACATATGTTCACTTTTAAATACAGACTGATGATTGAATAAAGTACTATGTTCTCTATCAAACAGACACTGATGAATGGATGAAATAATATGTTCACTGTCAAACACACACTGATGAATTGATGAAGTACTATGTTCTCTATCAAACATACACAGATGAATGAATAATTAGGCAGTAGTTCTCTATCAAACAGACACTGATGGATGGATGTTGTAATATGTTCTCCATCAAATACACACTGATAAATGAAAAAATAATATGTTCATTGTCAAAGACGCACTGATGAATGAATATGGTAATATGTTCACTGTCAAAAACACACTGATGAATAAAGTAATATGTTTGCTGTCAAACACTCACCGATGAATGAATAAAGTATATGTTTTCTATAAAACATTCACTGATGAATGAATACAGTAATATGTTCTCTATCAAACGCACACTAATGAATAAATGAAGTAATACGTTCTCTCTCAAACACTCACTGATGAATGAATAAAGCATATGTTTTCTATAAAACATTCACTGATGGATGAATACAGTAATATGTTCACTGTCAAACACTCCCTGATGAATGAATAAAGGAATATGTTCTCTATCAAATACACACTGATGAATGAAAAAAGTAATATGTTCACTGTCAAGTACACACTGATGAATGAATAAAGTAATATAATAAACCGCAAAAGTAACATTGCATGAAAAGTTGTCATTTAAATATCTGGGTAATTTTTGTCAAAGTTTATAAATTTAACATTACCTTGTCCAGAAAAAATAGATTTGATGATAAAATGACATTGCAGATGACAATAAAACCGATCGCCTTAACGCATCAGGGCAGCGGCCATGGTAACCCTATGCACGTGCGTTCTCCCATTTCTTGCCCTATAAAAATCTACCCAGGTCGGTTAACATTCATTCGTTATTGAATTGCTACCACATGCCTAGATTGACAAGAAATCAGCAACACCAAGCCCTTGAACGATTTCAAGCTGGACAAACCGCCCGGCAAGTAGCCAATGCATTTCAAGTCCACGTACGAGTAAGTACCATATAAGGCTCCAACAAAGGTACCAGACCACCAAAAATACGGATGACCGACGACGTAGTGGAAGACCAAGGGTCGCCACTTGACGTCAGGATCGTCAGATTGTGCGACAAGTTTTTCAAGATCGCTGCGGAAACTGCGCGACAGACAATAGGGACACACCAGCGACACATTAGTGCGGACACTATGCGTCGACGATTGACGAACAGACACCTCCACTGTCCTAGGCCACACCGAGGACCCCTTCTGACACCACGTCATCGCCGGGACCGTCTTCAGTGGGCAACACAGCACCAGCTTTGGCGCCACCAGCAGTGGAGAAGAGTCCCCTTCTCAGAGGAGTGCCATTACTGTATCTCAACAGCAGATGGCAGAGAGAGAGAGAGAGAGAGAGAGTCTGGCGACACCGTGGGGAACGTTATTCGGATGCTTGTGTTGTTGAGAGAGACTCGTGGTGTGGTCCGAGCCTCATGGTGTGGGGTGGAATTGGTCTTGCACAGAGGGTCGGCTTTGTGGCCTTCCAGAACATCGGTCCAGGGAGAGGCAATGGTGTCACAGCAGCTCGGTACACTGATCAAGTCTTGAGACCTACCACGAATTTCAGCATTGTGACGCCCGTGCCCACACTGCGAGAGCAACAAGAGACTTCCACCAGCAGAATGGCATCAGAACCATGCAGTGGCCTGCCCTGTTCGATATAAATCCCATTGAACACCTGGGACGAGATTCAAAGACGGCTGAATGACGTCCGACCAAGGCCGACAACTGCAGTTGAACTGCGTCAGGCGTTCCTCAGAGTGTGGGCTACATGGCCTTCATCAACCGCCTTCATCAACCGCCTTCATCAACCGCAGTCATCAATGCACATGGCGGACACACGAGATATTGACGCATGATGCCATTTTCTCAGAGACTAGTGTTGAGTTTCACTTTAAGAACCATATGTAACTGCCCTCCCAAGTGTTGTACGTATGTAACTATCCTCCTCCGTGACGTGGTATATATGTAACTGTTCTCCCCAGTGTTGTACGTATGTAATTGTCCTCCCCAGTGTCGTGGTATATATGTAACTGTCCTCCTCCGTGACGTGGTATATATGTAACTGTCCACCCCAGTGTTGTGGAATATATGTAACCGTCCACCCCAGTGTTGTGGTATATTTGTAACTGTCCTCCCCAGTGTTGTGGTATATATGTAACTGTCCTCCCCAGTGACGTGGTATATATGTAACGGTCCTCCCCAGTGACGTGGTATATATGTAACTGTCCTCCCCAGTGACGTGGCATATATGTCATTGTCCTCCCAAGTGTTGTACATATGTAACTGTCCTACTCCGTGACGTGGTATATATGTAACTGTCCACCCCAGTGTTGTGGTATATATGTAACTGCCCTCCCCAGTGTTGTACGTATGTAACTGTCCCCCCAAGTGTTGTTGTATATATGTGACTGTCCTCCCAAGTGTTGTTGTATATATGTAACTGTCCTCCCCAGTGTTGTACGTATGTAATTGTCCTCCCCAGTGACGTGGTATATATGTAACTGTCCTCCCCGGTGTTGTGGTATACATGTAACTGTCCTCCCCAGTGTTGTACGTATGTAATTGTCCTCCCCAGTGTTGTGGTATATATGTAACTGTCCTCACCAGTGTTGTGGTATATATGTAACTGTCCTCCCCGGTGTTGTGGTATATATGTAACTGTCCTCACCAGTGTTGTGGTATATATGTAACTGTCCACGCCAGTGTTGTGGTATATATGCAACTGTTCTCCCCAGTGTTGTGGTATATATGTAACTGTCCTCACCAGTGTTGTGGTATATATGTAACTGTCCTCCCCAGTGTTGTGGTATATATGTAACTGTCCTCCCCAGTGTTGTGGTATATATGTAACTGTTCTCCCCAGTGTTGTGGTATATATGTAACTGTCCTCCCCAGTGTTGTGGTATATATGTAACTGTCCTCCCCAGTGTTGTGGTATATATGTAATTGTCCTCCCCAGTGTTGTGGTATATATGTAACTGTTCTCCCCAGTGTTGTGGTATATATGTAACTGTCCTCCCCAGTGTTTTGGTATATATGTAATTGTCCTCCCCAGTGTTGTGGTATATATGTAACTGCCCTCCCCAGTGTTGTGGTATATATGTAACTGTCCTCTCCAGTGTTGTGGTATATATGTAACTGTCCTCCCCAGTGTTGTGGTATATATGTAACTGTTCTCCCAAGTGTCATGACATATATGTAACTGTCCTCCCCAGTGTCATTGTATATATGTAACTGTCCTCCCCAGTGTTGTTGTATATATGTAACTGTAAATGTAACACGCAAGGTCCGGGGGCAAATCGTTCATACAACCCTGATCATACCCGATTACACTAAATATGGAAATACAGGAAATATGGCATACTAATGTACGCGTCACGACTGCCACTAAAATGCGTTGTGTAATTGTATAGTCACATGAACTTATGAAACTTGCAATTGCAATAATTGTAATGTTTCCCTAAAATGGCCGAGGTAGCCTATGGATTTCGAGTGACAGGTTTTAATCTACAAGATATATCCAAATGTCAAGCACAATAGAGTTGTTTAGAAACACGTAATTATATGCGATCGCCAAAAACAGATGATACGCTGTCTGTCCTTGTGTTACCTTTGTAAATATACACGCACTATCAATATTAGATTTATAAACTGCATACATGTATTTTGTAAACAAGTGTAACGAATACAACGTCTTTCAGAACTATCTCATTCATTCCAAACATGTATTTTCTAAATACATGATTTTGTACTGAAAATGTTAGCAATGAAACCCACCTCTGTTGTCTATTGTTTACCACTTTATGTCTGTCTGTTTCTGTAGTGATTAGAGTTAAGCTTAATGTACTGAACCTTAAGGGGAAATGCCTATTCGTCCGAGCTAAATGTGGTGAAGAGATTACATTTTCATAAGGGGAAAGCTTCAGTGGTGATGGCATATCATTGACGGGGTCTTCAATACAATGAGTGCTGTCTTCTGGGAGGCAGGGTGCGTAAAGTGGGATTTCGATCAGCCCAAGAACACACATACACATTGTTAATCAACAGTACACGCAAGCTGCCATCAGGTTAGTGCGCCGTCAAATAACAAACAAACAAACACAAATGACACGTGTATAGCGTTTGTGTGTCTTTGGCAACGTCTTGACCTGGCATTTTACATTATATTCCAAGTTTCCAAATTTGAGGCATCAGTGAAAAAAATGATGTTCGATGCAATTCCCTTTTTTGACTTGTACCAAATGTTCTCTCGTATTATCAGGTGAACAATTGACTTGCCTTGGCAAGTATTTGTGACGTAGCCACTGGTGGTGCAGGATACTCTCACCTTTTCGCGAACACACTATTTGATAGTGATTAATAAAAACTTGCATATAATTTAGTCGGATTCTTACAATTGAGTGCTTTGAGTGCCGTAGGTATTTTTTGGATTAGGAATTTTGATTTTGATGAACAAAAATAAAAATGCATTGTACAGGATATTTTTCATTATCTTTGATTTGGATTAGCAGGTGACAAAAGAAATCTTGGCCTGGTTTGGGCACTTATAAATTATACATAAAAAATCTTACTTGTTTTGTTGCTTTAGTGTATTTGACAATACATTTGCTAATGTAGCAACGTTGCTTCCAGCCCGTCATGGAGTAACGTATGGGGAATCTGTGATTCATTTATCGTGTATAATTCTGTTCCTAATATAACAGGTTATGTATACTCAAACACAAGTAAGGGATCATAAAATATACATGTTATGTTAGGTCGTCAGAATAAATATTGACTGCTTTAATAAACGACTGCCTGAAATGGAACGGTTTCGAAATCAAACCCTCACGCCCCAACACAAGCATTCTTGATCGTGATTCTTCATGAAAGGTCGTCAAATTACCCTGAACCGTTAGTATTGCTGATTTTCATTAGTAACACGTCAGCATTCGTCAGTATTTGATATCATATATCAGAATGCAGGCATCGTCTTCAAGGTGATGGATGTCAATATGTTCAATGTGTCTCAGTCTGTGATTTTCAGACTTTCATGCAGACACAAAATGTTAAGGATCTGTCCTGCAGAGAGCGCCCTAGGTGAACAAAACAAATCCAGGCAACTGTAGGTCCAGCTACTGACCAGCTAATCTGCAAGCTCAGCAACCACGTGTTGTACCATCGTTAGGAAATTGACACATTCCTCCATACATGGGACATGCTCAGGAGACGTGTATGCCGATATCAAACACCACCCGCCATGTTAGCCGAACTGGGCCAGGCCCTGAAGAGGAGTGGACAAGACTCCCTCAAATAGTCATTGGGACATTGAATCGGACCATACAACGCCGTGTGAACGAATGTTTGACCAGACGTGGGGTCAGGACGCTTTACTGATCAAGTTTGTACCCTTACAATACACCACCAGCCTGTTCTGGCGAGTGTCATGTTACACCTGGTCCTTCCTTGTTCATACCCACAAATTACCATCGCTGGATACCTTTTGTATATCTGTAGTCACCTCTTATTTCCGAATATTCCCTTCTTTGCTAACGAGCATACATTTATGGGCTTATTGTTTCGTGTTGGTGTGACGTCACCATGCACCGATCTGACGTCACTTGCTGTCGGCCGCTTCCTGGAAGATAATCTGTACTGATGGTCTGATGAAGTTCCCGAAGCCTGTACATTTTGGAATGATGGACACCAAAGTGTCTGGCAACTCGTGGCATGCTCCATCCAGCTTCAATGAGGCCGATTGGCGATTGCCCTCCTCCGGCTTTCCCATGTCAGGCTTAAAGTCAAGCTCCCAAACAAACAGCTGTTTGAGAACAGATGACAAAGTGTCCAAAAAGCAACTGAAACGTTCTCAAACCTTCTGGTAATAAAGAGTGGTCCACGTTTTATGCATCTTCCAGGGGATGAATGTCATTGCCATTTAGAGAGTGGTCAAATGTAACAAATGTTATATTTGGGATAACACTTTCTTAGAAAAGTGCAGATTCTCGTACCTTTTGTGGTTGAGTCCCAGACAAGATTTGAACCCACACTCCCAGAGTGAGGCACCTTTTGCCAGCTAACAAAGTCAGCGATCTAACCCACTCAGCCACCGAGGCTTCCACAAAAATGAAAGTCCAACAACTGGTAGTCTAGATCACGTACTTTGTGTACCCCTCTGATAAGTATAAATAAGCACGGCTCCCATGGCCGAAAGGTATGAACGTACAATGCCATTTAGAAAGGGGTCAAACGTAACAAACGTTATATTTGGAATAACACTTTCATAGTAAAGTACATATTCTATTACTTTGTTGGGTTTATCCCTATACGGGACTCGAACCCACAGTCCCAGAGCGAGGCACCTTATCGCCAGCACACAAAGTCAGTGATCTAACACACTAAGCCACCGAGGCTTCCATAAAAATGAAAGTCCGACAACTGATAGTCTAGATCACGTACTTTGTGTACCCCTCTGACAAGTGTAAGTTGGCACGGCTCCCATGGCCGAGAGCTATGAACACACAATGTCATTTAGAAAGTTGTCAAATGCAACAAATATTATATTTGGGATAACACTTTCTCAGTAAAGTACAGATTCTCGTACTTTTTATCATTACAGTCACTCCTCTGACAAGTGTAACTTGGCACGGCTCCCATGGCCGAATGTTATGACACTGTGTATATACATCCATAGCTTCAATATTACAGACCTCTGTCAGAACGCGGGAATGTTGCAGAGTGTTGCTTTAAACAACAAATAAACCAAAGACACATATAAAAGTATTAAAATACAATTCACCTGCCGCAACAGCGTTCACGAACATCACAAGAAGGGTCGACACGCTTGCCGTAGTCTTCATGTTTACAAACGATGACAAACGCAGTGTACACACCTCCAAATCTTGGAAAAGCTTCCTTACTTGTCTGTGAGTCGCTACATGATAAATCACGAAACTAATTATAACAAAACAATAACATTGCTTTGATGAATGATCGATTTATTAACATTCACAACATAACACTGAGTCCTTTCATAACTTATGCTGCGTGACGAATATTGTTGACGTCATTGATCTTGTCATTGATTATTAGCTTCAATCATCTTGTTAATTGACTTCGATACATTATTGTTGTATCAAATCAGTTCAACACTAGCCAACGAGCATGCGTATCTTTTTAATTGCTATACATGGTGTCTGATGTTTCGATATAACTTCAGGTAAGTATTAGTGAGAAACGCCTACATAGCATCGGGCGATCCGGTTCCGTGGCGTGGTTGATTTTATATCACCGTACCCTTACAGCCTGGGACGTTACTCATACTATCGACCACTGGTTTGTTTGTTTGACCAATAATCGATTGAAATAATGCTGAATACTGAAATAATGCCGAGCGTTGTCTAAAACAGCAAACAAACAAAACAAATCATAGTTGGATGGTATAATAAATACACCCCACGCATGCACAAGACACAGACAGGCGTATAGATCCCATACACTATTGTTTGAAGATGCGCCTACTAATAAGTGCAAATATTATGTGAGAGATAATGCGTTAATGCTGATCGTGGCACATAGCTTGATATGGGATTAGACACAAAGAACCGTGGGAACAGTTTATAACAAAGAAGTCAATAAAACAGACCCCTAGCGTTTTCACTTCTGCTTTGTAAAACAATACAGACAGAATAATACAACAATTTCTTTTTTCAGTTTGGCTTAAATGTAACGCAACAACACATTTGTTCTCAAAGTGGTTCTTTTCTGGAGCTTGCGTTCGTTCAGCCTTAATAGCCAATTAAAAATATCACTACCGCACTTCCATGCTGTTAACAAGCAACATAATGCCCTACAGCCATTCTGATCTCTGTTCTCAGTATTCTTCAAATATCGACATGCTATCATCCACGAACGCGTCTAAGCAGTAATTGTTCCATACAACCAGCGTGTAAGAAAGGAGTCTTGAATTGTGTTCCAAATGGCTAGGAAATACTCGACAATCTTTGGCGTTAATCATCAAATTTAATCGTTTGCATTAATATATTAAAATATAAATAACCATCACATACTACGAATGAACATGTCAAAACACCTAAAAGTAATATTATTGATTGGTTTTAATGTTCAAATTTCAGTTGTCTTCATAGATGTTTCTTTGCTTCTTGGGTGAGTGAGTGAGTATGGTTTTACGCCGCTTTTAGCAATAGTCCAGCAATATCACGGCGGGGGACACCAGAAATGGGTTTCACACATTGTACCCATGTCGGGATTCGAACCCGGGTCTTCGGCGTGACGAGCGAACGCTTTAACCACTAGGCTACCCGACCGCCCCTTTGCTTCTTGAATGAAAGACGTAAAATATATATAAACTAATAAAAAAAAATAATCCATAAATTACTAATATTTGTATCATATAAAATCTGACATAAACGGTCCCAAAATGCAGGAAATATCGTTTAAGAGCATCTAATTCTTATAAGTTTCTGAAGGACATGCCCCCAAATGCGACCGTTTCGCGCCCACATAACATTGGTTTTGATTTCACTTAAAATTAGTTGCCCCCTGGCGATACTTCCAACAATTGCTTTTGTGCAACAAACACATTGTTTCACCATGTTTTGCTTGAATATATATCTCATGCTCGTTAATCGATGCACAATTTGGATGCATTGAGATTTTGGGACACTTGAGACCAGTTACAGAGTGACATATTGGCAAGAGCTAAAATATGATTAGGTAATGTTCCAAGAGTAAAAGCATTTGTAGTGCTTTTGGAAGATTTGAACATATATGGTACCCTTTGAACTGGTGAGGTTCCTCTGCTTATAACAGTGTACATGCATTCCAACTCTGTCACCTTTTATTTTACGAAATGCCGCTTATGTAGATGCAAATCTCTCATGAACGTATTCAACAATGCTATTCATGAGAATAACCTCTCCCCAAGGAGGCATGTATATTTAAGGGTTTCAGGGGTTACTAATACAGTCAAACACCGTTGTGTCGACGTTGAAGGGACATACGTAAATAATTCGAGTTATCCAAGGTTCGACACAACCAAAAATGAACTTGGCATACATTCAGCGATGGGACCAAGCATTTACTTTGAGACAACCGTAAGTTCGACACAATGCTGATTGACCGTATTTGGAGTTTTTTTAATATAGAAGAGTGTTTAAGTATTTACGGTCATCAGACAAAGAAGACCGAACATTGATATTCTGTTTTGGTTAACCAACAATGAATAATGTTTCAGACCATCAACCGTGTCCAGTGAAACTATTTTTTAAAGTATTTCAGGAATAGATTTATCTTCTTAGACGCAAGCCCCAAACCCCCAACCCGCAGAATGTTCGGCCTGTAACAAGCGTTCATTGCGCATACTATATTCCAGCAATACTATTTTGTAGTTTTAAGTGATAGGTAGAGACTGCATACAAAACGAAGTGTAGCAGCCGTGGTTAACGGTGAAGTGATCAATGTCTGTGCGCGAATAAAAGATATAAAACCCTTTCCATATTCAAAAGAAATATCTGCTGAAAGCTGAATGGAGTGCACGATCCGACTCATGCGCGTGTATATGGACCACTATCAAATAGTGATGATACAAGATGTTCGCGACAAGGGTGAGCGTATCCTGCCCAACAGGTGGCATCCGTCACAAACACATGCAAAATCACGTCAATCTTTCACCAGAAACAAACAAGACGGAAATATAATGTTACAAGTCAAAATAGGGAACTGGATGGGAAACCATCTTAATCACTGATTCGTCAAATTTGGAAATCTCTCGTACCCCCCACCTGTGATATGGATTGGATATCGCTAAAATACGCATGCAAGTCAAACGCTCGAAATGAGGGTTGGGTTCATTTTCCTCATCATTCATAAGCTCATTCGAGAAAACCTTGTATCAGGCATAGGCTATTTGAGGATTTCCAAGGCAACACGTCTGTTGACTGTTCAAATTGTTTGATAAATAAGCTGCAAGTGATTCCCTGGCATCTGACTGGCTAACCAAGCCAAACAATGCGTTCATGTATCCAACTAGGTAACGCCCATTCGGACATTCAGACATGTTTCACCTCAGCAAGAAGAACCGACGAACCGTTCAGTGTTTCAAATCAGACTAGCTATAGCTGAACTTACTGCCGTATCATAAATTTAAATTAAATGTATTTATCTCATCATGGTTACATTTGGGCTCCTGCTCAATCCTGTTCCAAAGAGTATATCTCTTTAAACACGTCATGTATTGTTTTATGAAGATTTGCACATATAGGATTGCGTACAAAAGTAAGTGTCATGTGGTTAGCATTACTTTGGTAAGAATCCTGATATTATTTTTTCAAAGGCTTTCTTCAGGACTAATGACGGTTTTGATTGGTTCGATTTATGACGTAATTACTTTCATAAACATATTCAAATAAAGCGACAAAACCCTTTCCATAGACAATAGAAATCTCTGCATAAAGCAGAGTCGATAGTACGATTCCGACTTTATGATGAACACGTGTTTATGAATCACTGTCAAAATGTGATGTGAGCGTAAATGTGAGCGTATCATGCCCCATCGGTGCCACCCGTCACAGACACATACACAGGCAAGTCAATTGTTCACCTGGAAAAAACCGGGAACATATGGTACAAGTCAAAAATGGGAATTGCATCGGACATAATTTTTGGCACTGATGCGTCAATTTTGGAAATCTTCTCCACGGTTTTTGAAAGCTTAACTTAGGCCTTGAATGTTGTATTCTTGATCAAGTAACTTCTGAGCAAGAGTCGTGTGACGCTCTTTTACATCTCAAAAGTTGGAGCTGCTGGAATATTGCTCGACATGAAGGGAAAGTAGACTATTGGATAGTTGAAGTAATCCCCCTTGTCAGTCTTGTGGAGTGTGTTTGGTCACAATGAATCTTTACGCATAGATGTAGATATGAAACAGATGAGGAGGTATCACTGGCCTCCTTTAATTCTAGTTCAGTTGGATAAATCATTGAAAGACAATTGGCTATTTGATTGTTATTGAACGATAACAGATCATCGATATACAAGAAGCTTCAGTTAAACTTCTTGGCCAAATGACCTTGTTTTGACTTTGCCAGTCCGAGCTGAAATTCCGATTCAATTGCATGAAGGAACAGATGCGCAAGAAGGGGAGCACAATTGGTGCATATGGGGATGCCTACTTCTTGCCTAAATGTCTTAAACCCAAAGTTTATATAGATGTTATCAATGAGGAAGTCCATCATTTCACATATTGTTTTCTCAGTAAACTTCGGATGGCATTTGCTTTCATTTTTCACAAATTGTCCTGGACCTCTGAATATAGAAACGTAACTGTATCTGTGGTCACCACGTTTTGTAACAAATGCCCCATGGATCAAGAAATGAAGATTTCCCTTAATTTTGTCATGTGGGATAGTGTTGTACAAAGTTGAAAAATCAAATGTTTTGACAGAATGGGATTTGGTTCTTTTCTGAGATTGCAAAAAGTCAAGCAAACCGTTTGAGTATTTTGAGAACCCACGTGGTATTAATTCCACTTGTCTCACTTCTGTGACTATGAAGGACACCCCTCCTTGATTGTGTTAATGATTTTGGCTCATCTTTGAGACAGAAATTTGGTGGTGCATTTGCTGAACTCAGTAATAAGTCTCTCACTTTTGTACGGATTTTTATGAAGCTTTGTAATCCAGTACAAAAGAGGCGTGGACATGTTTTCAGATTTTAGAGTCAAGTCAAACGTTGATGCATGGTTTGGGGAGATTTCTTCCTCAGTCAACATACTTGCCTTATTTGTGTCATTATTTCATATGTCATTTATACCAAGTTCTTTGAACAAACAATTCATGTTGTAATGCTTACATATAATGGTTATGTCATTTAAGGCCTTCTCAGTGG